ATTTAGATTTGACATTCATAGTTTCATACTGTAAGACAGGTTTCTGGTTTCCATAATTACATAAAATGTTATGAATATATAGGACGTATATACATGCATTTGTTGTTTGTTTAATGTAGATAAACATATTCTCAGCATTTTTGTTTTGCTGTAATGTTTTTAAGAAGATATCATGTTCTGAAATATTAAAACAGATCTTGCATGCAGCTGCCTATAAAATCTATCAAAATCCTTAACAATTTACCATGGTGTAAAAAAAGTAGTGCGGTATTATTACCCCTCTACATGTCAAAACATATCAAAGCTCCAAGCCAGATTACTGCATATCTCTACAACCCCCTTCATTAAAGATGATCGTGTTGTAAGCCTAGAGTAGGGAGGGGTTACATCCATACATCCCTCTCCCTGACAAGTCACTTCCTGCTCGACGACCTCGGTAACGATGACGTCTGGGCCCTGGCTATAGCTGGTCCAGGGGAAGAAGAATGACACAGAATAGATCGATGGCTGGGTTCATGCATACCAGCTTGTTTTCCTTATTACTATCATATAGAGAAAGTATTTACATCAGAGTTCATACTAGGATTTCTCCTTCATTAAATTGACCCAAAGTATTTAAACCTGTATTCAAGCACAGATTTGTTCATCAGTTATGAAAACTAATTACATTTGTAAATATTTTGATATGGCATGACGATGGTTTCTGTCATTTTATTCACCGATAGAGCTATGTTCATATTAGCTATTAACTTGTTTTCTTCAACTTCTAACTGCATTTGAGCATATATCTTCATTATTATATAGTTACACTGTATGTGTTTATATTACTCTTGTATATATAAAAGCTAGGAAAAGCAAGATTTTCTAGTTACTCTTTCAAGAAAGCATTGTTTTTTTCAATGAAAAAATGCCTTGTGTCTGACCTTTTTTCTTGATGAACTAGAATAATTAATTTACTCTGTTGGTTTGGCTCGCTGCCACATTAGAAGAATGGAAAGGTTATTTAAAGAGCACTTCATCATGGAATCATCTAACAAATCAAACTTCCTTTGTATTATTCCTTGAGGACTCAACACATACAGTAATATTCATTGTGAACTTCAAGCGCTTGAAAATATATGTTATCTTGGAAAGCAAAATTACAGCCAGGATGTAATTTCCAAACTTTGCTATATGATATAATTTTATAATCTATAATTTGAAAATGAAATGAAACAGGAGATACCAATTTAAGTATTTTGGAAGAAATACCATATGAGAAATGTAAGACAAAGAGATACTTATTCAATTGTTAACTGTATATCTGTTAATAAACCACTACAAGAAACATTAAAGGAAGTATTCTTCATTGCAAATATTTTATGACAACATTTTTTCTACCCAATTGCTCTTGAGGTCCTCCTCCTGTAGATCCCATTTGTCAAGGTTTGACCATGGAGATCTCTTCTTATATCTCCATGGTTTGACATGGGGATTACAAAGTTTCTGAAAGTGACAGATTAACCCATTGAATCTTGGAACCTGGTGGTTTATGTATTAAGTCTATGGGAATAAGAGAAATTCGGGAGTCAACAGGTTAATATTTGTAATGAATACCGGTAAGTATAAATAAAGTGAGACTGCAGAAAACTACCAGCTACCGGCAATCTGTGAACTGCTAATGCATCCCTCATACAGAGTGATAGATGTCAATGCTCAATGGATTATACAGGTCAATCCTCTTTTAATCAGCTGGAAATAGGACCTGTATGCTATGTATGTATGATATGAAATTGCATGTTCAGTGAGCAGTAAACGGTTATTTCAGTCATTTGAGAATCTTGTATTCATATGTGCCTGAAATGAACACTTGTTCACAAGTTAGTTGAATCAAGAAGTTACTAGCCATTCTTGGTTTAATTATTGAAGCTGTATGATGCCTATTATTATTATTCACCATTATATTTGTCCACAGCTAATATTGATAAACTCCTCAATGTTTGAGATATTATTTTATTTAAGGTAATAGAAATTTTAAGATGCAAGGAATAAACAGATAAAGATAACATTATACAAATATACTGCCTTGAGAGGTTCTGGTTAAAACTATACGCAAGAGGTGACTTCAATAGTACTATTTGCTGAGGGGCGCAGCCCCGAAGCAAATGGTACTTTTGGGGTCACCGAGGCCCATAGTTTAACCAGTACCTCGAATAGAAGGCATGGTATATTTGTTTTATATCCTGCATCAAAAATTTATTTTAAAAAAACAAAAAAACAAAAAACAACAACATTTTTTGGGGAAAAAAATTTAAAACAAAAAAAATGTCAATTTTTATCTAAAAAGATTTAAAATATTTTGTTTTTATTAAATTAAGATTTGAAGAAAAAAAGTTGATTCAATTCAAAACAAAAATTCCCATTTTTTTTTCAACTCCCAAATAGTAAACCAAAATAGTACTCTCATATACTACTTTCTAAAAATAGGTCAAATATTTTTGGTCATGTGACGAGCTCTCAACCAATCAAAAGCCAACAAATTTTTGATGCAGGATATAAATACAGTTAACAACTAAATTATTCATACCCCTTCAAAATTTGATTGATGTTTTTTTTTTTTGTATCTCGAGAATGAAAGGTACAGACTGGTTGAATGCTTTCAGACATAGCTTTTATATGTCACATTCTCAAGAGATGTAAATCAATCTTTGGGACAAATTAATTTTCTGAAAAATTACAGAACTGGGTGAAGGTATGAATAATTTAGTTATTAACTGTAAATGTCATGCAGGGCTTAAATTAATCCAAGGCCACCAAGGCCATGGCCGTGGATGCCCTTTTGATTTGCCTCAATGCCCCTCTCATTGGCCATGGAGATTTTTTTGTGCCCTTTCCAATTCTTCGTGCCCTTTCCAATTCTTCCTATTTGTGCTGTAATATAGGAATGTGCCCTACACAAAAGCGGCCTTGCCCTACAAACATTGAAATTTAAGGCCTGTCATGCATACAAACATGTGCATGAACAGACTTGTGTGTTTTACTCTACTAGAGAAGATTGAGCAACTGTTCTGTATTCTATCATCCCAATTTTCTGGCACATATATCAGTGCCAAAACTATTGTGGCAAGTTTTCTCAAAAACTGAAGATAACAATATTTGGATAGAAATCAGCTTCTAATTGTGTTCTATTGCTTTCTGATTAGTTTTACTCTCCTATATATAACACAAATAGGTTTACTGTGATATATGAATTCCCCTTCCAAAAATGAATATCAAGGTCATGTTCATTGATGTTTCAGCAAAATTATAACTTTCAAAAATTTGTTGCAACTTTGAAGAGGAATATGAGATATTCTTCAAGGAATTGTACGTTCTTTGCATATTGATTTCTGAACAACAGATGAGGTATCTGACTATCTGTAAAATCAGTTCATTTGGCATTGGTGCAAATAGCTGTGAGGGAGTTGTGGAAAAGTTTTAGCCCAGTCTAAGCTGTCAAGTGAGAACCCTGCATTCATAGAGCATCGTGAGTCAAGACACCCTCCACCCGATGGGTGTATCCCGCCTTCGATGTGAATCCACAGCTCAGGAAGCAGAGCGCAGCGGTAACGGACAGCACAGCAGTCGACGATTTAAATTGGATCGCTTCACGCCCGCTCAAAGCACCGTCGATTGATCTGCCTCTCAGATAGGCCTCAAACGTACTCCAGACTCGCTCTTGCACCCCTTTTTTCCTCTCTTGTCTTCTTGTTTCGCAACCAGGGATACCCCTCCTCGTCGGAACTTCCGACAGCTGCACTTATCTGGCAGGCTTCAGGTCCTGGCTGGGAGATTGAAGCCGAAAGGGTGGGAACACTCTTCTCTCCAGAAAGAAGACAAAATTGGATCCACAGCTGGGGGATGATCCAGATTTTGTTTTTCCCAGCTACCCCCTCACCAGAAAAAAAATTAATATCTCGTAATTTCTCTGGGCTATGATAACTGACAGGGCAGGGGATAAATACTAGGGTTTATATTTATGTCGAGGACATTTGGAGTTCCGACTGTCGGTGAAGAAGGAGCAGGTAGAGTTGATCACTTTATCATGTAGTGGCAGCAGTGGGATAGATTCATTGGGAAGGATGCCTGCTGAGGTTTGGTTGCATCGTAAGGAGGTCTGGTTGCATCGTAAGGATTTAGCAGATTTTATGGATGTTTCTGTCCAGAGTCTTGGACGACACCTGTGACTAGAAGCTTTTTCACCCATGAGTTCAAGCTTTTTGGACTCTGTAGGCCTACATCACACATTGTATAAAGCCTGCTTTTGGAGGAGTATTTGCTTCAGTTGGTAACTCAAAGTTTGAGGAGCTTGATTGTGGTTGCTGAACCCAGGAAGTCATCCTGCTTGCACCTTACTTGTACAGATTTTTGATTGTTTGTACACGCGTAGGACAATCTACCAAAGTGAGGATTTTCAACTGGAGTGATTTACATCAACATTGTGTGACTGATCTATCTCTCCTCAAAAAATTGTTGATGGTGTATTAAAATTTCATCTGATCGGACAACCATTCTGCTCCATATTTCCCACAAGCACATCTTAGTTTGAGCTCATCCTGAAATGACTACCAAGCATACTCCAGCTAAAAGTTTTCAGAGTTCTTCAAAAAATTCCATACTTTTGGACCTTAATTAATTACAGCCACATGTAGTGAGGACCTATACTGCGTGTCCAGTGTTCAAGTATTGTAAAGTTCTGTGGACTTGTGGTTATAATTGGAACGAGATGTAAAATGTGATTCAGCCATCGCCAGTCCAAAGCATAGCGTGATATTAGAGAAGTGGACAACGTCAACATCATATATAGTCAAAGCAGACACACCCTACATCAGAAAGAAGTTTGGCATTTCTATTTTTACCTTAAACTCTGAATTAATCCTGTCATAAACATCACTTATACCTTCAAGGATAAGACCAATACACCTATATATATATATATAGTTTGAGCAAAATAAATTATATACCGGTACTAAGAACAGCAGCAGAACTGCTTAGTGTCTCATCAATTTGTGTACAACTTTGCAAATTTGATAAGAAAACCGCTTTCGGATCCCACCATGAACTTGCAAAAAAGCAGAGGGCTTAACTAGTTTAAGTTCTCAGACAGTCTGCAAGGGTTGTCCATCATCAGATGTCATTTTGGAAACTAATTGGCCCTCCCACGAACGGTCACTGCAAGTCTAAAGCCGCTTCCCTCGCTTGAACTTGTAAGGGTGATGTCACCGGCTTACCCACGTCTGGAACGAACTGAGGATGAATCTCTAAACTGGACAGTTGCTTGATGATGGCAAGGACTTCAAAGTTGTAAGATATAATTGCAATTGTTCTTTGCATATTCTTTCCTTGACTGTGGAGGAGAAGCAGGGATTGTTCAGAATCTTATGACTTTTTGGCACAAGAGAAGTAGAGGATTACCTCATATCTGCCTCTTTTGTTTTTGTTCTAATTCTGGATTAAGAGGACTTCTTTTTGATTGCTGGCTAACTCTGCGTAAAGGTACAGATATAGATGTACATGTATGAATGACCTACGTCCTAGATAACTAGGACACCTCTCTTCATTCTACAATTGGACTGTCCCTGATTTGAGACCCACAAGGATGTGTTCATCTCCCTTATCTCTTCATGATCACTGTTATCTTAATGTGAGCCAGTATAATCAGGAAGGATGTATTCCATACATGTAGATGATACAGTTTGATCAGATGTAGAATTGTACTGGGATCTCAATGTCAAGTTTTTGGAAGTCTGTGGCTAGCTGTCTCCATGTAGAGGATATGCCACATAGTATCATCTTTTAGATGTGTCCTGATAGTCCTGATGTTGTTGATTGACTTCATATTCTAGCAGTGTGCATTGACAAACCTTTATCAGAGCCATGATTCCTTGTGAGCCAAAAGGCGAGGAAGCAGCAGCAGCGTTTCCAATCATGGAGGACTATAACATGACTTTCACTGCTTATGCCTGGATATTTGAGGAATTTTACAAGGTGAGGTATATAATGTTGGCATGATAGAAAAAATTTGTGTCGTGTTTTTTGCAAAAGTTACTGTTCTTATACAATTTTGCAAGAATGACACCCTATATAGAATATGTTTCCTTTCAAAAATTCATAAAAGGATTACGATATGTGGAGAGAGTAAAGATGGGCATGCAGGCAGGTCCATGTAATGTATTCTGTATGACCACTTCTATCTAGATCTATTTTGTCCAAAAAATAACAATCGCATCATATGACCATTGATTACTGGTTTGTTCTTTTGTCACTACCACAAATGGTCATTCCAAGAAGTTTGTCATTTTCTATGAAATGAGTGGGTGATACTTCAGTCATACCGCCTAACTAACTACTAACTGACAGTTCTTGGCCAGAAGGGTAACAGTAATTTCTTGATTGGTCTATTGTCAATGTGGTGTTGGTCTTATTGGTGTGCCTAAGGTATTAAAATGTATGTGTGATAATGTATATATATGCCTCTTCCGGATTGTGTGTATGTGAATTTTTGTTGGACTGCATCATCTTTTCGATTGAACTACGAGTTTGCTGTTTGAAGACTTGTATAAACCCAGTAATGACATTTCCACCAAGTCTGGTGTCAGCGAATTATAACCTTCTGCACATTGAAACTGACGACCCTTTCCCTTTAAGTGCTAACCATTCCCAACTGGTGTAATTGGGACATAGCTATGTTGGATCCATTTCTTTAATAAACCATTCCTATCAGATTAATGTTCATCCATCAGTGAATATAACCTGACTGCATGTACACCGAGAAACCATATACCAATCAATGGATCCCACGTTTCAGTTCTAGCCTTATTTGGATTAATCCTGGCCTTCAAATGTATATTACCTCATTAAGCACCCATACCACCATCCATATAACATTTCCATGTAGATTAATGTTATTCCCAAAATATGATCTAATTATACACCACAGTATTCATGTAACATACTAATTTTAGACAAGGACGCCGTGACTTGGCGAAGTGGTTTAATGACTTCAATCGTTTGCCCATTTGCTGGCTCAACCCTGTGGTTTCAGTATGCCCTTCAGTGATTATCTGACAAAAATTGTTAGAATTTATATTTAAAAGTAATTTCATGGAGTGGCCATGAATTAATGTATTTTGATTTTTCGTCAATCCATTTTCTGTACTCAAATTTGCCACACACTTTTATGTATTTTTTGTAATGTCAGTGTTATGGGAGTTTGTGAGAATAGCTTTAGTCCAAAGTTACATGTATAAGTGTTCATTCTTTATGAACAAGGTTGTTTGCTGATGATCCATGAAATTGCTTTCCTTAATCTGAACAAAAACACAAACAAATTTTAGATCAGCAAACAACTTTTGATGAAAAATGTTGACATTGTGAAAAATTTAAGATGTGAAATTGTGTAATGGAGCAAAACTTTAATTATACTTATAAGTAGTAATATGATAAATAAAAAAATAAAAAATGGGAGGAAGAGATTGAGAAGGGAAGTTAAGAGGGGCTGACAAGAATTTACTCATTGAAGAGAGAAAAAGAGATGCAAAATGACTGGACAATATATATGTAGAGAGAGAGAGAGAGAGAGAGAGAGAGAGAATAAAAGACTGAAAGAAAAAAGAAGAAATCAAATGGAAATAATAGAGGTACTATAGAGAGGAAAACAAGAGAAAGGGGGAAAAAGAAAAAGATGAAGGGAATGAGAAAAAATATGAGTGATACATTTTATACACCTAAAGCAACACAGGAAAAACAGAACTTAATATTTTCATTGACCATTTTATCAAAGAGCTCCCCCTGTGTTGAATTGACATTCTTTTAATTTCCTGCCTGATGTCACTTCTAATTTCCTTTGACACCAGACACGTATAGTTCTATACATGTCTGGATTATCATGTTAATCTCTTGAAGTAAGGATTGCTAATCTTCATTAAGCTACCTAATCATTTATATTAAATCTGGATGTGTTTATTCAATCAAATGTCCAGTCACAAATCATGCATTCCATTTGTAATCAGTTTTCTCTATCTTTCTACTCTATAATTATGATATTGTGTTATTTAACATTTGAATGATTTGATTTGATTTGATTTGATTTTATTTATTCATCATCAATAACATCAGTGATTAAACATTTGAATACATCGTGAATGGTACATGTTCATAAATGAATATTATAGATCATATTAAAGAAAAACCTAACAAAGTATTGATATGCTAGACATATGTCTTTTCTCATAGAATATAGAAGGTGATGAAAAGGAGCCAAATAATAGCACATGTGCTAGTCGAGTCTGGCCCCTGTTCTTAGCACACACTTGGCAAAAATAAATATATCATTATCAAAAAATAAAACTTGACAGTAGAAGTATACATGTTGAGTAATACCGTAGCACAATTTCTACACTCCAAATATAATTATGAAGAGGATATACCAGGTTAAAAAGTCATAGATACATGTATCTACAGATTATTTATACAAAAAATTGCATTTTTTGACCAAAAAAAAAAACAACAAAAATGTAATATGGAGATTATTTACAATATATACATGTGTACTTGCATAATTCAATCACTTATTCATCAAGTAATCGTTGAGATGTTTACGAAAAGTGTTTCTAGACCCTTTGTTTTTGATTTCATCGGGAAGTTCATTCCATAATCGGGTTCCTACACAAGTTACTGAAAATTTGCCTTGTGTTGTTTTATACAGTGGTATGCGTAGATGGCCCTTTTCTCTTTTTCTTGTATTGTATCTATGCTCAATTTTATCACAATAATCCGTCAAACAGTGAGGTAAATTATTATGTACTAGGTCATACATAAATGTACATAGAGACAACTCATAGAACTTGTTAATATCTAAGATTTTCAATTCGTAAAACAATGGTGCTGAACGACTCATAAAATGGCTAAATGTGATTGTCCGTATGGCCATCTTCTGTGTATACAGTATGCAATTTAAGTGAGACTTGTAAGTGCTCCCCCACACTTCAATTCCGTATGATATATGAGGTTGAATAAAGGTTTTATACAACAACACTAGGATATTTCTAGGCACAAAATGCCGTAAGCGGAAGAGGATTCCTACTTTTTGTCTGATGCATTTATTAACCATTTGTATGTGGGGTTTCCAAGTCAAGTGTTTATCAATCTTTATCCCAACAAAGAGCGAAGAATCAACTTCTATTATTTCAGCTTCTGATATAGCCAGTTGCCCTTGAACATTAATCTGCCGTCTCTGGTTTCTTATTAGCATATAACTCGTCTTTTGTAAATTAATTGTCAGTTTATTAGCATTACACCAGTCTGAAACAATTTGAAGATTTGTGTTCACTTCAGTCATATCAATTTCTTTTTGCCCTTCAGGAAATGTATGGAATAAGTTTGAGTCATCCGCAAAGAGTCGAAAGTTAAAGTAACGTGTAGCAAATGGCATATCATTAATATAAAGTAGGAAAAGCGTTGGGCCTAGGACAGAGCCTTGCGGTACACCACATGTTAAAGGCAGCATGGGAGATGTTACATTTCCGTACTGTACAAATTGAAATCTTCTATAAAAATAGTCCTTAAACCACTGTAATGCTATTCCTCGTATTCCATAGTGTGAAAGTTTGCTGTATAAAATATCATGATTAATTGTATCAAATGCTTTCTTAAAGTCTACAAATATCCCAAGTGTGATTCTTCCCTCATCCATTGAATTCCTCAAAGTGTTAACTAAATTTATCATTGACAATTTTGTACTGTATTTTTTACGGAAGCCATACTGGTGCTCATATAATACATGATTTTTTTCAAGAAAGTCAAGAAGCCTATTATTTACAATTTTTTCAAAAACCTTCCCAAGAACAGGTAATACTGAAATAGGTCTATAATTTCCTGCTTCAAGTCTTCATCGAGTGACACAATTTTGATGTGTTTATTTAATTACTTGCAGTAGTTTAATGAACTGCACTGTTTATCTTTCTTCTTCATACAATCATAGATCAAGATATATTAGAAGTGATTTTATTATATTTGCCTTTTGTAACTGTTCATTTTCATGTTGCTTGTGGATCAGAGAAGATATTTCTGATAGGCATTGAATGACTCCAATGAGTATTGAGGAGAGAGATTATACAGTTCATTTTTAGAATGTCAGTATTATGCCAAAACTGATCAAATGTCATGATTTATTTCTAGCCTTAAAGCGGTATTGAATATCATATTTGAAATCAATAATAAACACCTTCTCCTCATCAAAAATTAGGAGATTGTGTCTGAAAAGTCAGAGTGTGAATTATTTTATCACAACTAATGTCATATTTCTGGTCCGTTCTCGCTGTGAAAAGGAGGACATTGTGATATCTTGAGAAAGGTAGATAGGGATCCTTCTTTATATTGATGTGTCTTATTTGTAACATAAATTTACAATTATTCTACATAATCATGAGATTAATCGTCATGAGTAAAAAATTTGTTTTCAAATTAACCTGAAGTCATTTTGTTTTCAAATTAACATGAAGTCATTTTGTTTTCAATAATATTTTCTTCGTTATTGCTAGTAATTTAAACAAGCAGGAATTTTTTTACAGGGATTACAAGTGTTTGCCATGTGGTAAAAGCAACAACAAGTTATTCCTTTTTCTTAGCAATTCATTGTGAGGCGGATATCTATTTGTGGTTTTAGATACATGTATACATTGTTCATTTTATAGCATTTATTGAAGCACTAGACCCATTACGACTGCTTTCCCCGAAAATCTTATGGAAATGACCTCTCCATTTGACACAAAGTGCCCTAATTCCTTGAGTCTGTGCATTGTTTTCATTCTGATTCTTATCCCGAGTACAAGCTTTCCTCACCTAGCCCGATATAATTCTGAATGTTTTTGTTTTTGTCTGCTCCTAGATCCTCCCCTACAACCACAAGGCACAATGCATGGAAGATATCATGTCCTCAACGGGAGCCATTGACGCGATGTCAGAGGAAATCATTAAGCCAACCCAGCAGTATGAAAGAGCAAAGTCACCACCCCTGACAGAGGGGTCTGTCACCGGTGTTCCGGACAGGTCAGAGGTCACAGAGGCAGGAAGTGACATCATGATGGAACCCTGCGAGACTTCCTCTGTCACTTCTGAGAAGAGTGGTGTTAGAGAAGAGAATGGAAATACTGGTGTCACTGGTGGGATAGGCTCTGATAAACATGGTAGGAAAAACCCTCTATCACCCTCACAGCAGCGGAAGAACGTCGTTGGGAAAGCCGCTTCTGGAAAACCACTACCATTAGGACCACCACCAAAGCTGCCCCCAAAACCTCCAGGTTTGCTGAAGGTCAAAGAAACCGGCAAAGCTCCTCCCTTGAAGCAGAAGCCAGCAGTGCTTCCAAAAGGAAAAGGGCTCAAGGATAAAACCAAGAGCACTTCACAGGAGTCTGTGGTTCAGCATAAAGTAGTGATTACTACTGTAAGTAACACAAACTGTGAGGTAAGTGTTAAGGACACTGATGTTTCTGGTCATTCAACAGACGGTGGTAGACCTGGTGGTAGGACCTCTCCAAAAGCCAACATGGTAAGGACACCACCTCCTCCTACACCTCGTAACCCAGTGGTTATGACGCGCTCACTGGCAGGGCCGCTGCAGCACACAAAACAACTCCATGATGGTATTCAACGCACCTGCAGCTCACCGCTCGCAGCTCCCAATAAGGCTGTTAATGTGACATCCTCTCTTGACTCTGAAACCCAACACAGTACTGATCACCCCCACAAACCCCCCAAGGTCATGTCCAGGGTGCACAACATTCAAGATCACCTGACACACCCTTCTGCAGATGTCCCTGCCATAACCAAGAAACTATCTGTTATGGACCATCATATCAAAGTGCGGGAACGAGCAGCTGTATTTGAAAAAATTGTCCAGGGAATATCGGAGGAGACAAGTATCTTGTCTCTGGATATAGATGCCGCAGGGGGAAGAAAACGCTCTGCAAGAAAACCGGATGCGCCACTTTCTCCAACTTCAAGCATCACCAGCAGGTCTGGAAATCATTTGATGGAAAGGGAAGAAATGGACATAGCTAAAAAAAGCATATTAACAAAATCAGAATCATTGCCAGTGACAGGTCCCGCTCTACCCATCCCCCTTCCAAGAAGTAATAGGACTCTAATCAAAGACTCTAATGAAACAAGTATTCAAAGTGAAGTTGACCGTCCAACCCCTCAACCGAGAATAAGCCTTGGCCAAATTGCCAATACTGAACCCGCCTCGGCAGCAGAAACATTGAACATTGAGTCAGCGAATTCCGATGATATTTATGATGAAGTTCGTGAATTTGCCCATAGCGATGATGTCATTGCATCGTTAGCCAACGGGGACAGTGAACATAACATGTATACGTATACAATAAAATCATCGGTCGAACATGAAGTAAGAGAGAATATTTATGAGGATACTCTTCTTCCTGACACCTACATGGATAGCATCCCTCGTCTCCCCCCTGATCCCCCTTCCCCTGGCCCTACCCCTCTAGCAAACACCTGTCAGCGTCCATTATCCCCCCTCCTCCCCGAGAGAGGGCCCCCCATGAGAAGCGCCGCGGCAGCAGAGGAAATGGTTGTGACTGATGAGTCGGCTTCGCGTGAACGCGGAAGCATCTACGAAGTCTGCCTTCCCGAGGATGACCAGAGTGACGACAGAACAGAGTCGGTAGCAGACACAACAACTACTGAGAACCAAGTTACACTCCAGGAAATGCCCGCTCAAACACCAGGGGATCAAATTATGCCCTCTAAAGGTAGGACCAATATTGTTCTTTGTCTCACCTACACTTATCTGTAATGAGTTAATGAGCTGAAACAATTGTTAGGCGATGAAAGGCTACTCTGACTCATTTCTAAACTGAGAAGTCACTCAAAAGTTCTCTGTATGAATCCTACTATTCAACTAACAACTGGTTTTGACATTTGTTCAATACTTTTCTTAAACTCTGTATATAATTCAACTAAAAAGTACTTATAATGCCTATTTTTTGCCTCTTTGACACTATCTAAATGATTTTCCAAACTTTGTTCTGTAAGAAATACACCAAAAATTATCAAACTGTATCATGTACACCTTTTATGTTAGGAAAGTCAGGTTGCATCAGATTTACATAGATCCCCTCAAAATTTCTTGTGAATTTGATTCTGCCATGAAAGAAATAATATCATTCAATGATTTCAGGAAAGGCCACAAAGTAAGTGATGGAAACTTGCCATTTTTCGGCTTGAAACTGGATAGACATTGATATTTTTTCTGGATGTACGTAAATATCTTTCCTATGGTCAGCAATATTGCTGTTGCCATTTTGAGCAACGGGAAAAAGGTAGCCTAGACATTGATGACTAGCTTGTGTCGAGAAGCATCGATCGCTTCCAAAAATAGAATCGCATCAAGGATCATTGCTCTCTGAATTGGCCACAGCCATGCAGTCAGGGGTTGCCAAGTCCGTGCGCAGCCCTGCACAGGATGCCTCATTTGAGCTAATTGCATGGGGGAAACGAAGCTCTAATGAATGAAAGGTACAGATGGTCTCAGAATACCTCTTCAGACTTAAGCAAATTTATACCAAACTCGTTTTAAGAAATTAGTTATTAAGAGTAATGGTGTAATGAAAGCATCGTACATACTATAATTCAATGTCACATAAAGAAACTGATTGGTCAGTTGACATAACAGCTAGCCAATCATTAGTTTGCGCACATGATAGCCCCACCCAGTTATACGATTGGCGTACTACATTTTACTTCATTCAAAACGGTGCTCAAACAGGCTTTTCACTGTACGATGTTCGTTATAACGTTTCTTTAAGCGATGTTCAGACTAGGGAAAGTTTAATGACTATTGGTATAGCTACAATGTATACGAGATTGGTATAGCTATACAATGGATGCTGGCAGTCTGAACGCAGGCTTAATGACTGCTCATTTAAAGGGGATTTTTGGCTTGCTGGCTGACAGTGCTGAGCTGCCATGATGTGCGCTATCTAACTCACTCAACAGGAAGTCTGTCATTTCCACGATCGAAATTGCCCCTTGAGAGAGGAAAATCTTCTTTTGGCTACCTACCTGTGTACCGTGCAGTATACCTAGATAAGTCTAATAATTGACAGGTGGGAATGAAAGAAATTTATAATTTATCATGAAAATCTTCAATATTTTGAATAATTGGTCACGCAAGGCTTTAGGCAATAACGCTGCAGATAATTAGATGGCTATTCAATGAAAACAACAGATATAAGGAGATACAATTTGAAGAAGTTTGTAACATCTGAAAATGACTCCTTCAAACAGTTTTCAACATTTCCTTGCAAAATTGAATGAACAAAATTAAAGATGCATAGTAATGAGCTGTCATGGGGAATTCGACACCGTTCGGGTGTTCACAAAATAACAGGTGTTGTCAATTACGAGGATTAGCTTTCAGTTGTATGACAAACAGGTTTCGTTTAGGTTTGATGGTTTGTGTTACGTGGCTGCTAAGAAAGTATGTTTATATGCTTTTAAGTAAGCAACCTTGGGACTGATGGCTTTAACCCACTTCGAGGGACCTGGTAATGAGGATTAATTCCTTACCAAAGGGCAATAGTGCATCAACTTGGTTTTGAACCCGGGACCTCCCGTTACAAAACCACTGAGCCACCACGTCTCTTGATGTAATACTCTGCATTTTCCACCAATCGGCCGCTATTTCCCTCTACGAGAGACTAGGGGGGTATTTTATGATCGAACCGTGGGTTTGCTGTGTGTGCGAGACTTGAACACTCATTAATGGTGTTTCCACCAAGTTTGGTGTCGGCGAATTATGATCTACTGCACATGAAAACTGACAACTATCTCCCTTTGAAATAAATGAGGGGAATACACAGGACTATACCGGTATACATTTCAATGTATTGGGCAGCTGCTTCTACGATAGGCTTTTCCAAAATATTCTCTACTTGTTTTTATATCATGCAGATGCAGCAGATCACTACTTCTATTTTTATAATGGTATAAATGTAGCTACTATTTTATGCTGAGGCATCCACTGATCATCATTTGAATTTAGAGGACTGTCATAGAAAAATGATATATTTTGGAAGGATTCTGATAGTTTGTGCAACATTATTTAACATACTTTATTTTCTGTCATAGCAAATTCCTTCAATTCTTTTGCCTGATGTACTTAATTTTTGTTTCCCAAGCAATATTTTTGCTTGTCTGAGCATTAGGGGAAGACTGCCCAGGACTGCCCAGCTCTGGAATTCTTTGTACTCTTTTTTTTAAACATTGACAAGAAAGGAATTTTAAATGAAATTGTAGATGGATTTGTGAACTGACGTAGCCTTTAGCCTTTTAGTATTGCCTTTACATCGGGTCGTGAAACCTTTTCACAGCGACAGTATAGCCTGGACACCAGCAATTGAATTTCCTCTGTTTTTAATTGGCAGCAGCAGGGGCTACATGCAGCACTAAACAAACCTACTACAAAAGCTCTTAATTATTGTGCGGGCACATAAATAGATTATACTTGCTATGTAATACCATGGGCTGATGAACATAGATAACATGTGCGTTTTTTCAAAAGGTGACATGCAAGTTACAATGTTAATGAGTTGATTACCCAAGGCGTAAAGTTATCCTCAGGAAATTTGCAATTGTTCAATGAGTGTTGCAGGGGGCAGTGCTATGAAACACTATTTGACGCATGTGATAAGGCCTGCTCACATATGATAGGGTGATCTGTGTTTTGTTTTACAAAATGTAAACCTTTATTTTACACCTGTTCGAAATTTAGTAAAGGTTACATGACCGTAAAAAAGGGCAAGGTTTGCAAAAATCACATTAATTATACTTCAAAAGCTCTTAATTATTGTGTGGGCACATAAATACAATGGGCTGATGAACATAGATAACGTGTGTGTTTCTCAAAAGGTGACATTCATGTTACAATGTTAATGAGTTGGGATTACCCAAGGCGTAAAGTTGTCTCAGGAAAAGCGCAGTTGTTCAATGAGTGATGCAGGGGGCAGTGCTATGAAACATTATTTCATAAATCTTTATTTTACACCTGTTTTGAATTTAGAAAAGGTTGCAGGACCTTAAAAAAGGGCAAGGTTTGCATATCTCTAACGAACCACCTTTCTTTGACATGACATGTAGTTCTTCAGAGAAAGTGGATATTTTTATCTAAAAGATACCATTTAACCAATCTTCAAGAAAATCTGAAATATGTATGTTTGCCTGAAGTAAAAAAAGTATTGATGTATTTCTGAGACTGGAAAGCAGTCTGTTTTCTTCATGGGCTATTAGACCCAAACTATCAATGAGATATGAGTGTATATTTTGGCCTAATATATATATATATATATATATATATATATATATATATATTAACTGGAACATAGAAAAAGAGTGTGATTTAAATTATGAATTAAAAAAAATTGTTTACCCCCCCCCCCCTCCCCCCTCTACGATAAAGAGTTTGTATGCCAATGTTTTTTACTTTCTAATTGCAATTGGCTATTACAGTCTGAGGTAATAAATTGCTCTTTAATCTTCCATTCTTTTCACTAGTCAAACAAAACAAACTGAATACTTGAATGAGAGAGCTACTGTACTTTTTTTGGAGATAATATTCAGTTCTTGTATAGCGCATGATACGCAATGAAATAATATCTCTATGCGCTTTCAAAGAGCTTTGGAAATAATTACCCTAGCATTAGCTCTGGCAGTCGTAATCGGCGCAGAGATGACTTTGTTTGTGTGTTTTTATTTCAAACAAACAACCCCGTCATCTGAAGGAACACAAACAAACAAACCAGTCATCCACAGGAACTGATTTATAAAACAAATTGATCAGCTGAAGATGTGAACTGATTAAATGAAAATATGAAAATCAATTCTGGGAATCAAAAAGGCCAAGTTTCTTTAGATACAGATTGGTAGTAGATACTTAAATGCATTTATCAGTTTAACTACTTGACATATGTATCTTGTATTCTATACCAATGAATTAGTTAAGTAGTATGAGTATTCCAGACTTACAAAAAATGTATTTAAAGGTTTTTCAGACATATTTACATTAGATTTGTGAATCAACTTTACTTTTCTCAATCATTTCATTCTCTATTTCATGTAGATGAAGGGGAAGAAGCCGGTCTCGGAACCCACAAGATATCTCGACAAAGGAGGTAAGAGTTTGGTGTTTTTAATCTTTTTGCTTCAAAGAAAGTGTACATATTAATGATAAAAAGAAGTTTTTTAAATTAAATTTGTGTGTACAATTAACATGAAACTTAATTGTCAAGCAGTCCTCATACTCTGATTTTAATCAAGGGATGAACAACACATAATATAAGAGGTGTTAGATCACAGCGTCTACAATCTAAAGAGACATATCTTGAATAATCCTCTGTGTATTTTTAGTTCACAGAAATTAGTTTTTACAGCAGCCATTGACATTGAAAACTTCTTGCAAAGTTACATGTGCAATTGGGAGTTATTTTTGTTTGTTACTGACATATGAATCATTTGTTACCAGCATTGTCTGCTCAAAGCTGTCCTTCCTTTTTTTTACATCTTTCTAATTTGTATGAACTCACCTGACGTACTTAACGCTATTTTAGTGTAGTTTTAGTGATAAGACTCTTGGTGAGTCAACATTTTATCTGTAGTCCCAGGATATAGGAAAGGATGTTAGTTAATAGTCCTTTCACTTCTATTTACATGAACCCTGTTATCTTAATACCAAGGTAGGTTAAGCAACAAAAAAAATCAAACAGGAATGACAAACATTTATTTACTTTCCTTGGTCGGGTTATTTCCAGAGTATATAGATCAAAGACTTGGAGTAAAACTCACATTCAAAAGAAATAAGAGTTTGGGAACAGTTGCCTGTTTTGACATTGTTAAGGATTGTTTTATAATGCCAAATTGGACTTGGATTATATTTGCTAAGAACTAGGATGGCCCTTCGTCGTTGGTCAGCGAAAGAAGAAAGTGAACATGGAACCAGGTATTGCATTTCTACACTGTATATTCACCTCTTAACTGCCAACTAATGAAACATCGCAATTATTGCCAGATGCTGCTGATCAATTTGTAGAGTTAAATGTAGTTCACAGATTCATAAATTCGTAGATTTCATATAGATGCTTGGATAGGGTGCTCTAGCTGACATTTGCTCTGGCAGCAATTGCTTCAGGCTTAAATTTCATCAATATACATTTAGAGTTAAGATTGCAACTTGAATTTAGGTTAAATTTATGTTTAGGGTTAGATTTGGGATTTGTCAAAGTTTAGGGGAAGGACTAGAGTTGCAAATGGGCTTTTGGATAAATTATATGTTTAAGTGTTTGGGTTTAATAAAAGGGTTTAAGTTAAGAAATTTGGTTAGGGTAAGAAAATGACCATTGACCAAAGAACATTGTCTCTCATACAACCTCATCAAAAGTATAGGGTTAGGGTTAGGATTAAAGCATTGCAATTGGGTCTGTTTGGGGTTAGGTTCGTCAGTTAGCTTTAGGGTACATGTTACTGTTGGGTCCAGGGGTGAATTAAAGCATACAATTAGGGTAGTAAATTGGCCATGGAGCAATTGTTACAGGAACGAATGTCATGTTACCACAATTTAATACAATAGATTTCATTATTTCACGTCACTTTTTTTCTCTGTCGATGCAACGTCCATACAATGGATAGGCTTAAGAAAAGTGCCACGTTGAGCTTCAGAATGAGAAAGTTGTCAATACGTAAATATATCTCATCACTGTGAGTAGCACAATTTGTTGCACTTCATGAAATCATTGGGTCCGTACTGGTATCTATAATTCTATCGCAGTGGCAATTGTACATGTATCTCAGTGTTTTGATGTAGATTTAAATGCATGTCTGGTACCTTATTGGCACTTGTATTTTTGTATCAATTATCAATGTTCAGTTGACGTAACGTAGTCTGTATTTGTTCAGGAATGCACTTTTGGGTTTGATAAAGAGTTTTAAGAATCAAGTTTTCTGTCAAACTATGAAATATACATGCAGTTTACTTTCAGGGTTTATATTTATTATCATTCACTTAATACCCTTTTGTAGTGTGTTATTTTTTTCTATATTATAATTTGTAAAACATTTAAACACTCAATCATATATGGTTTCATTGGTTTGATAGATGTTGTTTCTTACTATTCTTTCTTTTTATGCATTTGTGTTTTATAGATTATTCAATCCATGTGATGTGCATGATTTTTATACTTTGGATTCACAAAATTGATTTCTTTGAAGTATTTTGCATGTTCCTTTCCAGTATTACATCATTTGCTATTTGCTGCCATGTTTTTTTCAATTAATTCCATATTTTATTGAAGCACATTCTATTTGATTTGCAGTACATTTCATTTGCTTTGTTAGTTGTTTTGATTTGTTTATCATTTTGCTTTTTGTTAAACAATTTCCAAAGAATACTTTTTTATTATCTTAATATCTCTGGAAAAGAGCTGCTGTTTATGTATTGTTATAAAACAAACTTTGTCACCGGCATGCATGAAATTACATTAGGTTTCTCTAATTTATATTATATAAGAAATGGTCAGTTCATCATGTACACTTTAATATGTGAAATAGTGTATTCATTCAATTCCAGATAAAGAAGGAGCAACATTTGATAGCTTGTGGTCTAAATAAGTGAGAAGTTTTTAAACAATGAATACCCAATTATACATAGTTTCAAGTTTCAAGTTTTTATTGTTCCACATTTTACACAAAATATAGACAAATATATAAAATAAAAAGTATACAATACATGTAGTATAAATGAGCATGTCTCAATGATGTTTATACTTATACTTTTTACCAATTAGATTTTTTCCTGTACATTTAAAAGAATTTTGCCTTCTAAGATGCCAAAGATCTATTTTTCAAATGTATTTGTATTTTTTGTATTAATGTCACATAGACTCAACATTTCCAATTAATTGTAAGTTTTTCTTTCTTGAGTGATTTGGTAATAGACAAATGAAATAAGAAAGGCTCACTTTGTCATTATCACCTATATGGCCCAAATTCACAAAGGAGATTTGTCAACAAAACTAGGTTTATGTGCGTCATATGATGCATTTTGAGGCGTTTCAGACCAAGGTCCAGACAAACCTTGGTCTGAAATGCATTAAAACACTTCATATGACGCACATAAACCTAGGTTTGTCGACAAACGTCCTTTGTGAATTCGGGCCTATGTGTTCTTGTGATTGGACAGATCCATCCGGCCAAATCTTTCAAGTTATTTAGTCAAACATACCGGGTAGTCGTACTTCAGCGACTATTGTGATATGAAACTTTCATAAATTGTTAGTGATTGTTGGCACCAAGATACTTGGAAATTTAATAAATCTGTGTGTTGGTTAACTTTATATAGCATGAAACTGTGGATCTGGACCACTTTCAAGGACTTGGTGTTAACTTTCTGCTCTGACAGTATCTATCTCCATTAACCCATTGCTTACCGGAACCGGTGGTCCCTGTATCAAGCCTATGGGAAATGTAGGCTTCAGTAGTTAACAGGTTAAAGTGACACCGAGAATTACTCTTCTTTACCTCTGGCTCAAGAGTAAATTCCATGACCCTAGAGATATGAAAAGATTCCTATTGTCATCTACATTATGACCTTTGACCTCTTTGTGTGCAGGCAGCAGCGGGTTGCAGTCAAGATGCGTTCAGCCGAGGGCTCGGGGCTGATGCAGAGGAGGAACGGAGAGTTGAAGAGACAGGGACGGTCCTTGCAAGATCTTGATCGAGTGAGGGAAGAAGAGAAAGCACAGAAGGAGGAGGAAGAAGAAGAGGCAGAGAAAAATGGAGTTTATGATGTAAGAAGGAAAACAAATCACTGTATTTTACCTACTTGTAACATCAGGGTGCTACAAGAATTTTTTTCACCACTTGCCCTGTTGGGCAAGTGGGTTTTCAATTTACTTGCCCAAACAATATTTCCACTTGCCCAAAACTTTAAAGCGAAAAAGGACTCTGATCTTGAGACCGCAGTAATAAATTGAAAACGAGACAAAAACATTCATCTGATTTATATGAGCAGCGAGTTTTAAATAATATGTTCACAATCATTAACAGTCATTATGAATAAATATCAAACATTTGACTTTTTGTACTTACTAGAAAATCCCTGTTGTTTATTCCATTCCGATTCGCACGTGTTCATTTCCCTAGAATAATGACGTCATATTTGGCGTGATTCAACCAATCGGCAATCAGAGAATAGCAAAGGCCTGTCGGTGCGGCCTGCAGAGCTAGAGAGAGAGAGCGCGAATAAGCTCGCAGCTGGTACGATCGCGCTAGCTGTCTCTAGCTAGCTCACGGCCGGCCGTGCGTGGAGGCGGAGCGGCATTCATGGCTTGAAGTGTCACTGTTGCATGCGCGCTGAGCTAGCTGAGCTGGCTAGCTGTCTGTGAAGTTTTTTCGAAATCGGAACGATCGCTTTTTTGCTTCTGGATTTTGACGACGGGTAAGAAGTTGACGGGTGAATGGTAGAGTTCTTGGACACTAGGAAATTACTGTAAAAGTATCACTTGCCCGAATCGGGCAAGTGATAATTTGATTTACTTGCCCGACGGCTCAATTTGGTTGCCCCGGGACGTCGGGCAAGCGGGTTTGTCGCGCCCTGAACATTATTCAATGCTCTATAGTTCTGTGAGGATACTAAGTGTTTATGGCAAAGAGCATCTGTAGGATAAAAATGATATGATTTCAAGCCGCCGTTTTTCTTCTTCTTGTGATTGTTTTTCTCTTTTGAAGCGAGATGGGGCTTATGTTGCCTGAAACAGAAGAGAGCAGAAAAATATATCTACTTTTTAACTTCAATTTAATGAAAGCCAACTGCATCATGTTTGCATTTTTCAACTAACTTTCTTCCGTTTGTTAAGCGATTCTTGTTAAGATGAGGGCATACATGTAAGTCTGTGGTTTTGCTTTTGATTGCAGGTCAGCCAACCAGTAGCATCAGGTGGACACTACATGTCTCTCTGTGATGATCAAGGATCAGACGGTAATGAGTATGAAGAAGTCCCAATCATGTTGTCATCCGATGAAGGCCAGCAGAGAGAAGAGACGAGTGTGGAGTTAGAGAACCACTCTGCGTCAGAACAACCAAGTGAAGACAAGGAGGAAGATACCAATGACATACAGGTGGTAACGGAGGGTGAATATGTGGAGCTGGAAGAAGAGAGAAGGGATTCTGTAGATGTTTTCCCAGATGTCAACATGCGAGACCGTGCGAAGACAAGTCCAGAGACCGTACAGGCCACCGGAAGACAGAACTTGAAGAAGAAGAAGCGACACAGTGAGGGTGCCTTCGAGGACTTTGTTCCATTGTTCTTCAAGAGGGATACTCCTGAGGGTGGAAAGACCACAAAGGACAGGGTTCCAAGGAGTAAGTCGAATGGTTCTGTGTCAGACGATGCTAGACCCAAGTCTGTTGGGACATCAATGATGGAAGACATAAGGGTAATCCGTGCAGAACTGGACCGCAGGAACGCTCGTAGGTTGAATGACGAGAAGGAGGAGGAGGAGGAAAAGACGGCTCAGTTGGAGTCGCACGATCAGGCTGATAATGCAGATCCTGATACCTATCAATATGTGACTGAGGTGAACTTTGAAAACAATGAAAACATGTCATCAGATTCCGGTTCCGACTATGAGCAAGTCACTGGGGATATGTCGCCGTCGGCCAAGAATGGCCACACTTCTGGAGCATCCTACGACCTTGAAGGACATCGCAGGACCCTGTCACGAGAGGGCTCGCAGGCAAGTGCTGGTAGCGGCACTAGTGATTACCTGATGCTCTTTGAAGATTGGAAGGCAGTAGAAGAGAACGGACTGATCGTGAGACGCAACAAGGGATCCAACGAGAAAAAGGAGAGGAGGAGAGTCTTCCCTACAGATTCATCAGCGTCTGATGCCAATATGACGCAGAGCACTACCCAAGGTTAGTCCCAATTCATGTTTTGGGTTTTCATTGACAAGTAACTGAAATGTCAGTGTGGGATAACATTGGATAACATGATTTTCAAGATATAATGGTGTATTTCACCATTGATGCATTCCTAATATCAACCCTGTGATAGTGGTGTTTTTTTTTACCTGACAGCTAAGAAAGCAATAAATGCTTGTTAGTAAGCAACCAGAAGACCGATAGCTTAAGGTCCTCTCCGAGGGACCTGGTAATGAGGATTAATACCTTACCAAAGGGCACTAGCGCATCGACTTGGTTTCGAACCCGGGTCACCGGATAACGAGACCACTGCTCTACCGACTGAGCTATCGCGCCTCCAATCAAACATCAAACATCAAACATCATATCTAACCCTTAACCTAGAAGCCTAACCAAAAACCAGGTTGCACCCCCTTACAGTTTACCCTTACCTTATACATGTGACCAAATAAAGCCTTTTGCTATTGTAACTATCAAATGTCGGATCGCCACAAATTCCCCTTCTGTGTGCAGATATGCCAGATTAAAACAAAGCATAATGTTTGTCTCCTCTGTCAAATGAATCATTCTAACATTTGTTGGAAATGTGGGGGAGGGGAGGGGGTGAAGTATCTATCCCTCAAATCCCTGCTACTTATACAAGGAAGTATGGAAGGAATGTCTTCGGGTGGACAGTCGGTCGCTGCTGAGATCAAGGCCAAACATGATCCTATTTTTAAATAGTTGTTATTTCCCCCGCAGAACTTTCTCCACTTACCATTGTATTTAAAAGTACACTGTCATCTTATCTAGTTGAGGGAAATGTCCATGGTTGATCATGTGCAAGGTTGATTCTAATTCTTTTTTTAGGTTTGAAATAACAAAGGAATTAAAATAATAAAGTAGGTAGAGTCTGCAACCTGCATTCCCCTCTCACAAGAAACTACCCCCCCCCCCTCATGCAAAAGCTCTTTAGATTTGCAGGTATGATCTTATTGCCACTTTTGTTTGTGAACTGGAAAATTTACTGATTGAAAATAGGGCAGACATTTTAATTAGTTGAAAATGATACCCCTGCTGATTACTCTTTCCATAGAATTGGATACGATATAAAATATAACTTCTGCTTAGTGCCTTAGAAAGATTGAAGCCTTGGCTGCCTCGTTCACATATATTGCATAGTAAACTGCTAGGCAAAGTAAGTGAAACATACAGGTCACTATGCACACAACCTTTGCTGGACACCTATTTATTTCATCCCTACTTGACGTTCACTTAAGAAAAATATCATGTTACTTTAAAATTTAGATATTGCATCATGTGTGAAAGGGGGTTTTTGTTTTAAAATTCCAAACCAGTTGTGTCTATTCATTTGGGATGTTTTTAGCTTGTGGTGTGATGAGAATAGCATTATACTGCTAAGTTGTCAGCAGCACTGTCATGGAGTTACAAAATTAATAACACTGTTCCTGCCATCACTATTCTAATGGATAATGACTCACTTTCTCATTCCATATAAATACCCAAGGGAAAAAATCTTTTAAGTTTGGTACTTTCCAACTTTATTCATCAAACCCGAGTCAACTTCCTTCCTCTCTTGTTTTACGATTAAGATTTAAAGTTAGAATGTGTAATTAGTCAAGGATCATAGACCCCTTCAATAAATGGTTTGGTATTCATGGTGTTGAATTGAATGTGTTGGCTTTCTACTTCATGCTTACTGTGGTATTTATCTTAACAGAAATGATGCCATATTATTTGGTTAAAAACTGTAGAGTCTAGAGATCATGATAGATCAATTCAAACTAAAGGTATAATTATTTGGGGCAATTATCAAGTTTTCATACTTTATCTTGAATTCTGATAACTTTACAAAATTCTGTTAACCTCAAGAAAGCTAAAAATGTGTTAATTTGTGCCTACAGTGGCCATTTATTATTCATAACAAACAGACGTATTGTGTGATTTATTTCCATATATACAAAGCAGTATCCCTAACATTGCTAAAGAACTGTATTTTTATTTTTTTTTTTTTTTTTTATTTTCCACATATGGGAAGGATCACCCTTTTCAGCTAAAAGCTGGTCTTCAACAGGGTCTTAACAGAGTAATAAAAAAAAAACTGAAATTATTAAGATATCACTTTTCTCAAGTTTCCATTTTCCTCTTGAAACTATATTTCAATGAAATGAGAATGTGGATTTATCTATTTTAGTTGCATAAGTCGTTAAGTCTTTTTATAATTTGAATGAGTCAGCTGTTTTTGCTGTGGTGTAATATATTGCTTCCTTAATTAATGCATGTCACTAATAGATAAGGATGTAGATAGTTCATGAATGTAAATTAGAAAGTAAGTGATTCATTCATTCTTCCAATTGAATGCTACTTGCAATGTCTTATTCAATCCAGATCATCATCACAAGGTGATGTTTTTATTTCACTGCTTCTTAAATGCTTTCTCCTACCTTTTCATCATGCTTTTATTATTACTTTTCCCCTTTCTTCCCATTCTCTATCTTCTATTATTCTTTTTAGATCATTTGCTCTTTTAAAAGAGATTCCTAAGCTTTTATCTTCTTCGTCTTTTTAGAGAGGGGGGGGGGGTCATAGAGCTTCAGTCTTTACACATTATCGTAGGCCAATTATTAGAATTTAAAAAAACATTCCCATTTTTGATTTGTAACACTAATAGGCCTCAGAGAACAAATTGAACAAATGGTAAAACATGTTCTTACAAGCTTCTTCCTGAGACAATAATTTTGAAATGGCCCCCTTAACCTAACATAACCTAAGAAATAACAGCGATAAAAGAAAGCAGAAATTTGGAAAAGCGTCCTGATGAAAGTTTGTACAAAAAATGTACAAAAAATAAGAAGTTATGATTGATTGAAGTTGTAATCATTATACTTATGGGAACTTCAAAATAGGTGATGTCACTGTGATGTAGTGTCAGACAACTTTCCCATTTGTACCAATGAAACACTAAACGACTAAAGTGTCATCTTTTTCAAAATGTGTGACTCTGGAGCGTCTTTTCTGGTGAAGGTGAAGGCACTTGGGAGAAAATCAGATATTAATGACATTTTTTTTACATGACAAAGGTGAGGGTTATTCATGACTATTAAAGTCGCAATCCACTGACAAAATTGCCAATTTGATATTTGCATAGCTATAGTGAACTCATATTTCAAAAAGGTATAACTCTCTTGTTATTGGTTCAATTTATTTCAAAAGTTTGCCATCCTGTTTCCCTTATTTTCTGCTTTCATTTAGCTGAACTTATTACAAGGGTTAGATTGCTCTAATTAAGAGATTGTTCAGAGCTCTAATTATCATCACAAAGTGGATCTAAGAATCACTCCTTCAGTGGACCCCCAAATTTTTTTTGATGAATCATTGTAGCCATGTCATAATTAAACTTGAACTTGACAAATCATCTATTTCACACAACAAAACACTCGTCAAAGTTTACCAAATGTTAATCAAACCACTGGTTTGAGTCATGTCGAGAATCTGGAAGTCTTTGTTTATCTTTCAACTGCGCTTGTTACCTGAATTTTATCAGGATACTGATTTTGTGGTAATAAATTGCATAGCACCCACCAGCTCTGTTGTGATCAGGAAAGAATATAGGGCTACCAGATAGGAAGTGAGTTCAGTCCTGTATGACTTTACAACAATTTTAATGTGTTTTTTGTGTCTGTCTCTGTCTCTCTGTCCCTTTCTCTCTCTATCTCTGTCTCTGTCTCTCTCATTCTGCCTTTTGTTCTCTGTCTGTCTGTCTCTCTCTCTATCTCTCTCTCTATCTCTCTCTCTCTCTCTCTCTCTCTGTTTACCCTTTTCTCACCCTTTTCCCTTCTCTTTCTCTCTTCTCTTTCTCTCTTCTCTTTCTCTCTTCTCTTTGTCTGTATGTCTATCTCCCTCTTTCTCTGTCTCTCTCTGTCTATGTCTCACCCTTTTCTATTTCCACTACTCTAGTTATGTGTCTTCTCTTCTGTTTCCTTTACCCACATCTTCCTTCCCATGTTTTTCCCCTCCCACTTACCACTTCCACACTTCTATCTCTCCACCCCCCCCCCTCCTTTCTCATTCTCTTTATCTCTTCCACTCTCTTCTTTTTTTCTCTCTCATTCTTTCACTCACTCTCCTTTCCTCTTTCTTTTCCTGTCTATGTTCTGTTTTTACCTGTCTACCTGATTTGCTCTCTCTGTTCTCTCTCTCTCTCTCTCTCTCTCTCTCTCTCTCTCTCTCTTTCTCTCTCTAGTTGGTTAGTTTTAACCAATCATGAGTGACACATTGCAGACAACCCTTTGTGAAAAGTTAATGATTGTTTAGTATCCTGTTAGTGTGTTAGGGTTCATGCAGTTGTTTGGTTAATATTCAGAGCTCCAGCGAAATTTAGTGTACATTGGAATGCCGTGTTATGACTGAATTTGTTATCTACTCAAGAATTGCTTAACTTGTATTCTGTTGTTTTAATGGCTGTTGAAGAAACCAAAATGTCGGTGTCTATAGGGCAGCGGTTGTGGCTGCTTACAAGTCACATGGGCAATAAGATCAGAAGTGAGTTTGACTTTTGTGAAAGTTTAGAAAAGGAACTGTTCCTTTTGTTGCTTTTAGATGTGTTTTGTTGATTAAGATAAGGATTATGTAACAATCCCAGTCCTTGTACCATGTACATGTAGCTGTTAAGCTTTAACGCATACTGTACAGGTATATATATATATATATTTGTATGTACATTCTCTGGGTAAGTGTATACATTGAAGGAGATCGGTGTATGCATTTATAGACGATATCTGTAGGTAAACATTTCTATTTTTTTAAGACTGGATAAATTAGTCAGAATTTAATACTTGTTTTAATGGCCATTTTTGTTTTGGACACTTTTTATACTTATATAAAGTAATGTCAACAAACTGACTTCTACCGGTAGTCAACTTCAACTTTAACTTTGATGTTGTTGATAATTTAATTAATTCAGTTTCACACTTGAATTGTGCAAAGGGTTATCAGAATGTTCTCCTTTTTTCTCCAATGCTTAGGATCATTGGATATGCAAGACTTGTCAGACTCTCAGATGAGTGATGAGAATGGTGTAGAGAGGTGAGTAGCATTCACGATGTTGATTTGAATTATATATGCACCATGTTTCTTCAGAGATAGCGTTCAAAGAGTGTAGTAAGTGGAAGATGATTCAGAACCCCATTTTTCTCTTCCCGATATTCTTTAAAGCTGTGATAGTTATTTATTCTTCTCTTTCAATGGTTACTTGATTGTTATCATCTATACAGCTAGCCTATTGAACTTGTATAAAGAAACGTATCAAGAAAATGGTTTGACTAGGTCAGTTGACCTGCGCAGTCATTTAAAATAATGCTCAAACAGGCATTTCACTATGCGAAATATCATTATATGTTGTTTCTTCATACAATGTTCTTACCACAAAATTCTAAATGACTTATTCTTGTATAGCTATACAATAAATTTCAGTGTTCTCAATGCAGGGTGTGTTAAATCACATGAGCTGAAGCCCTTCTTGTTCTCAGCAGACAATATATTGTCTGTTTGGAGCCAGAAGGGCGTTAACTGTGTGTTAAAGAACCTTATAGATAAAACCCTTGTGGCTCTGAACAGACACTGTGATATTGTAGTTGTTGAAATGAACATTTATTTCCATGACTGTAATTTATATGTAAGTAGGAAAGCTGTTATTTAAATCTTGAGACTTTTGAGTAGGTGAAGGAAAGTTCATCATCACCACTTGTTCAGATTCTTCTTCATTACTAATAATTCAAGGCAACACCTGTCAAATGCATGCAACAGAAATTAAACTAGAAAGATCATATTCATTAGGATATCGAGAGAGGGGGAAAGTTCGGCAGTACGTGACACGGTCCTCGAACTCTGAGATCAACCTAACACTCATCAAATGGCTTAAAGCTATACCACCGACCCAGCAAAATATATATATACCCATCAGCATTCACCCAATGAACGTGGCTAGCATCAATGTCTGGTTACCATGGCAACTAATTAGATCCAATTTCCTTGATTTCTTACTGGACTCGCTTAGATGAGATGGTATACTAAGACGTAGATGATATAGTATGTCAGCGTGAGTTAGTGAGGTGCTGAGCAGGGTGTGAAAGACACTTAGGCAGTACCATCTTTTCTATATTTCATATAATGAGCAAATGTATATTTTTGAATTGTCATATGTGTCTGTATATATGTATATATCATATGGTATTTTCAATGATTCTCTGTAAAAGATGTACACTTGCCACCATGTATTAAAATCTATGTATTGAATTGTAATCTTATAGTAGGAGTTTGAATTGATGAAGCAGCCGAATGAGAAGCCTAATTGGCCTGTCTTTAAACATTAACACATGCATATATTTCTTATTATACATACTTTTATGGGTATTTAATACATATAATGTGATAAAAGTACTGTACATATGTGTTAGTGTTTTATGCCACCTCAAGAATAAGAAAAAAAGAAGAGAGTCCCAACCTTCCTCATGGGACTTTAATTCATTGCTGAAATTTGAAGATATATTTGACATTTTGACTTACTCGATCTCCGGATCTTTATCTGCCATTCATTATTCAATCAATTATAATTTTTTGAAATAAGTAGAAGTAAAACAAATTGAGAATTCACATATTTCATGTGACTTACGTTTTATGAACTTGTAAATGTATTACTCAATCTCCAGATCATTTGATGCCCCCGCAAGTCCAGAGTCGACCCACTCAAACGGACATAAGATGTTGAAACAAGGAGGTATATCCCTACCAGGGTTGGAGGTGACCCCACCCAAGATGACACCACCTGAGGAAGCCCGGCCCCCTCTACCTCAGAGAAAAAAATCTGCCGAAAAGGCAAGTTTAAGTACTTCAACCCTTTTGATACCATCAGCCCAAAATTTGACTTTTTAGATTGTATTCCTGAACTGTTGTATCTAGTGGATTTACACTCTAACTGTTGTGTGTTCAACATGATAATGTAAGTGCATATGGTTTTCTGTGTGTGGTAATGTAAGAGTAAATCTATTGGTTTTAGCTATGCCACCACTGCCACTGTTTTTAAAATTCATAGACAAAATGATTTTAACTAATTATTGGAAGATGCTCATGGGCAATGATGTTAAACTCACCTCCTCTGTACTATTCAACATCTTTATAAACATATACCCATGATTGTTTTTATGAATTCATTTATATCCTGATGGATATCAGTGCCTACATAATTGTCCATGTTGGGATAATCCCTATGTTCTTTTGACCTATTAGTTCCCAAATCACACTAAACTGTCCTTTCTGAAACTTTTGACACCCTACCTTTTCATGTGCAATTAGCAGCAACAATATGGCGCCTTAAGCCATCTTTATGATATGGTTCAATTTTGTTTCATCAGCATTGGATTTCTTGGGTACATGTAAAAATATTTGCCACAAATCATGCACAATGATATACAAGTAGAGCTCTTTCATTGCACATGTGGCTACAGTTCACATACTTTGTAGGTCCAAAAGGGTCTATATCCCACCGCTGACACCCTATTTCAGTTGATGAACTCTAAAGAGTTCCTTGATATTAAAATGGAGACATGTGAACGTATCATGCTAGTCATCTCAACATTTAGTGGCTTATCTCCAGTCATTAGTTTATTAACTACTTGATGCAGTGTGCATGCACGTGTGGATGCATGGTGATCATGCACATTTATGTTTCTGCTAGCAATAATTACATTGTCAATCGTTAGAGCAGCCTGGTTGTATTAGATTATGGTTCCTCAAGAGGGTAAGCTTGACTGAAGGAGACATAGTGAACTTCATGTAATGCTGTACATGTTGTCTGTTGAGAGCCAGAAGGGCATTAACTTTATACAAGCTATCATCCTTCTTGCCCTCAGCAGATGATATGTTGGTCTTTGGAGACATACAAATTAGTAGAGAGAGGTTTTATATTAAACTTAATTCAAATCATTTGTACCTTGTAGTTGTACAAAATGTAAATCCATACATTCTGCGACCATTGTAACCAGCTGATTAACTGTTTGGGTGGTTGCAATAGATGTTTGTAGATACTATTGGTTAGGATGATGATGATGATGATGATGATGATGATGATGATGATGATGAGGACGATGACGACAGACGATGATGATGATGATTAGATACTTCCCAATCCCATTTCTCACCTTTGATTTGTACATTGAAGACCCAATAACATTTTCATGTTATCTTTGTTACAGTTGGCTCTTTCACCTAGTGCATTCTCAAGAAAACCTTCCAGATTTGTTGCTAAAGGTAAACACAAAGTCTCCCTTATCAAAGTCATGTTTTAAAAAAAATCACATTTATTCTCTTCAATTAATTCCGTATTTTTGAAGAGGGGTTATTATTAGGTCGAGACTTATTTTAAGAAAAGATATCTAGTAATATGTACCTCAGTCATACCGCCAATCCAACATTTGTTTGGCCTGTCTGGTGTCAGTGCTGTGGATGACTCAGGTATCATTTCATAATTTTACTCTGAATTCAGACTGTAAGAAACTAGAAGGTAATAGGGTAGATGTAATGCATTATAAGTGGTGACCTTTACAGAATTCCTAAAATAAAATCCCAAGGGAGATATTGACGTTTGGCCAAAATTAAGACTGATCAGTTGGGTGTTTCCTTGATGTGTTAGAAGCCACAGATATTAGAGGGAGGTCTCCCACCCAATATCTGTCTTACGCTTGTCGTTCCATATTTATCTAACACAGAGGATAGCTAGATTTTTGTGTCAACTCCTTTGGTTTTTAATTGGTACATTTAGCTCTAAGGTTACTTTATGTTTTTGAAAGTATTACACGACTTAGGCATTAAAATTTATATATGGATGTTGTAGATGTGAATTCCATTTCTCAGAACATGTGGACTTCATTAAAATGCCATATGTACATGTATTTACAGCTTTTGATGTCTTTGTCTTTATCCAAATCTTCAGAGCCTTTGTTCCAGATTTACCAAGCGGACCTTAGAGTCAGAGATTCCAAAGTGATCCTGAGACCGCGGACAGCTCGTAGGAGTAAAAAGCCTCCTTTACCAGCCAGGTCGTACCTGACCAACAGGAATCTACCACCCCCTCTCCCCCCTCATCATCCCCAGGCTAATCCTCTCCCCCCTCATCATCCTCAGGCTAACCCTCTCCCCCCTCATCATCCTCGGGCTAACAAGCCTAGTTTACCAGTGGCCCCACCACCACCCCTACCAGCAAGGAACAGTTCAAACCTTTCCAACATCTCAAATATATCAAACATCACCAACAGATCGCTTGCATCAACAAACTCATCAAACATTTCTCAAAATGCCCTCAGCACAGAGATCCGCGTTTCCCTCCAGAAGGAGTTGTTTACGAAAATGAACAGCTCACTAGAGACATCGAAGATTGAAAATTTCACGCCGATCAACAACAACATCCGCTCAGGTGACAGTCATAAGATTATGGATAACAGTCGTACTTGCAGCGGGAACAGCGCGTCAGAAAACGGAAACGACGTGGCGGAGGTGTCGCAATCGGATGAAATGGAAGACCCCACGTACATGTCAGGTAACGACGAGGGGTCATCATCGATGTATTCATGCGAAGAGGAAAGTTTGGGTGAGATGGATAGGAATAGAACTCATGGCAGCAGTATGGAGACCAGATCATCGCAACAGTCAGCTGAGTCAGCAGAGGGCGCTATTGATGAGGATCCTATTTATCAAGGAGGATTAGGAGATCCTGTTTACCAACCAGGGACAGAGGATGGAATCTATCAATCTGGTATGGATGATCCTACCTATGGAGGAGGCCAAGGTGAATATTTGTTTCTTCCTAATTTGAAAATGATTTTAAGAGTTATTTGTAGCATCTCAATGTGTTCCTAACAAAAGCAATTAACAACATTTTCCTGGTGGTCCAAAACAAAATATTGGAAGTCTGCTTGTGCACCAGCCCCATGTTCAAATTTTTTTAATTTGTGGGGGCCTGGTATCAAGTCCTGGAGCCCCATGTGTACAACACTTTTGTTAGTGTCAAGCCTTGTGATTTATATGAAATAAAACTTTGTTCCATTTGATTTATTTTCATCATCCTAAAGAGCACAGTCTTTTTATTTAACATTCTAATTGCATACAAGTGTTCCCATGAAAGAGAGTATTGAAGGAAAATGGGATGCTCCATGTGAAGTTCAAACAGAGAAGTTTTGGAACTACAACTTCCTTATGCAAGTTTTTCTCAGTGGTATATGGTGCCATACCCCATTATGAGTACAACGTGGAAATGATGTGCAGATTTAGAAGTGGATTAAAAACAAATCAGAAATTGTCCCCAATTAGTAAGAAACCTTTTGTTTTTTCAGCCTCGACACTATTTTATGCTGCACAGAGCAATTTGTTTTGCAATTTATTTACTTGACACTGCACCCAGGTCTAAAGTTGTTTTTTAGTTTGTAAAATGAAAGTTGTTTTGTTGGTTAACAGGGGTAGTAAACCCATTTTGTTAAATGCTGAGTGATATAAAAGCAAATTAAAAGTGTATGCATCATTTCTGAGACCTGGGGGGAAGTTGTGTCAAAACACTTTAAACGATATTTGTCCTGTGCTGCATGGTCATGTATCCTTTCACACTGTTTTACAGTTGATTTTTTTCAGAACAGGTAAATATGTTTTTAATACTAAGTAGTGAATACAATTACAAAAAGGAAGATGGCATATTTGTGACAGTTGGCCTGTTCCTGTAGAATCCTTTTCCTTTTATAACGACCAGACAAACAAAAATATCTTTCATCAAGTAAGCAATTTTAATATCACTCATCGGTTTGATCACTTGCACAAACCATACACTGTTTGATCACGCTGCTAGGAAACGTTTAGGAAGAGTTCCTCTGGTTTGAAGGCCATTCTCATACCTAGGACATGTATACCCTCATTCAGACTAGCACAATTCATCATATAGCTAGACGTAAATTGCTAAGTTTTTTTCTAGTCTGGAAGTCATTTAAGGCCCTAACAAAATTTCATAGAGTGAAAAGTCATATCAAAAGAGGATTGTTTCAAATGAAAAGTCACCAAAGAATCAGTATTTTTCTTGTTTGAACAACATATTGCATGAAAAACATGTAAAATGGACAAGGCTTAATGTTTAAGCATGCAAAACTACAATGACCAGCTAGCAATGGTTGTGTTGTAAGCTGACACTAAACATATGATGGAAGCTCACCTCCCTCAAACTGGTTTCTTTGTACGATATTTTTTCCTGTGTGAATGCCCCATACACTCTACAATGGGTTTTTTCTTCTTCATACCATATATTTTTAAATGAGGTTCTTTATACAAGTTTTGTATGAATTTACTTTTGTGTGAATGCCTTCCTAGAATCCAAATTTAGACCTCGCCTTGCACAAAGCTCTATGTTCCCTTTAAAGATGACCTTAGTGTTGAGAGACAGGAAACGCTTTGATGAGCATTAGTTCATCCATTTCAGCTCGGTACATTCATCGTTAATCACTGCTTCATACTGTAGAGGGTGTGTTAATTTTAAAGGGTCAACTGCAATTATAGTTTAGGAAAAAGGGTTTTAATAGGAATTATTGAAGAGTTAAATTGGTTAGATATTACTAGCAACTGGATATTTTCTTCTTTGATTGATAGACTTTATATACATGCATAAATCAAATAAGTCACATACAGTAGATGAAAAGGATATGAACAGAAAAACAATTTTTAATTTTTTTTTAACATTAGTCATTTTGTATGGAAAAAAACATGACTATGAGGTGATCAATATGTTGCCAATTTTAGACTTTGGATGCTTATTTTTCTTTTAAGAATTTCCTGTGTCAAAAACCATATTGTAAAGCAACAAATTGTCACCCCTTTGGTGGTTAAGCATTTATCTGTATTTTAATTGATAAAATGAAATACTTCATATTTGTTTAATGTGGAACCAATAAGTTAAAATGTAAAGAAATTCTTAATATGAATTTATATGTGAGTTGTAAATTTAAGATAGATAGTATTGGTAATCCACATAAATCTTTAATGTGTCAATATTGTCATGCATTTGTTATTTACCAACTGGTATTTCAGAATTGCAAGTCTTTAGTTTAAGATTATAAACGTAGATACATGTAGGCCTATATTTGAGGGAACTGTCAAAAGTAACAACTTTTGAACAGTTTTAAACAGGTGTGCTTTAATCAGTGATTAACATACATTTCTGACATGTGAGAGATAATATCTGTTGATTGATAGATCTATATCCTGTTACCTTGAATAAAAAGGATGTTTAATTTTTTTGTTCAAATGACATCCTTAGAAATTAGGCCTACGCAGATTTATATTTATGCCATTGGCATGATTAATAATTTATAGATTTAGTACGGTGCTTAAATGATTGTTTACAAATTATCTTCAAAATCAAACCACCTGACATATTTTCAATGGCCTGATTTGCAATTATGGATCAAGGCTTATATGTTTGTATTTACTCCAAATCATATCAAATTCCTGTGGCCTAAAAACTTGGGGAAAGTGTCTCCACTGCCATATTTGTATTTCATCGATGAGATATTTGTCTTTGAGTATACTGCCTCACTCTTTTGTGTCTTGTGCACAGATATCTTGTATCATATTGATGTTTTATGTGTGAAGACAAGACAAGAAGAAGTGGAGGGAGGGGTGTCAGTAACTCCTCATAAGAGGGAGAATGATGATGATTTTCACCAGCTTTTGTATCAAAAGGCTATAGTTAACACACAGGTGGACATGGTATTTTGGGTAGTGGGAACACTCACATTAAAAGAATTAGACCTTGTATAGTATTGGTGATATGCAGGATTTGACATTATGACATCGCAACCAATTTCCATGGGCGTTTTGGTCACAGTCATGTGAGCATGAATTTGTAGGATCAAAGTGACACCCCCCCCCCCTCGCAGACAGACATGTTTGATCTATAGAATTGAAGTTTTGTTTCTAGTTGTATAGTTGTTTCTTATAGAACAAGCATTCTAATGTCATTATTAATATACAGGTCTGAAAATAGTCAAGACTACGATTTTCACAAACTTTGTGATAACTTCAGAGTTTTATGATAGTGTGTATACTAGCCTTATCCTGTCAAGTTTCAGACCCTAATTTGAAAATATACCTCTTTGTCAATTTTTTTCTTCAATTTAGAGAGCCTAAAATATTCAGGAATATATTTGTTGCAATTCTTTGTCGTAAATAAACTTCTTTTTTTTTTGGGGGGGGGGGGGGGGGCCGGATAATTTCTTTATTGACAATGCATTTCTTGAATAGCATTGTGGTATACTACCACTGTCTCTGTCATTTTATGTGTATAGATGTGCAAGGCTATATTATAAGCTCACATACATGAACTTACCTTACCCTATTGTTTGTGTCTAATTGTGGTTTTTGTGTGCATACATTGGGGATAATAGAAACAAAAGAACTATTTTGTAAGATTCTAATTTAGGCGTTAGCCTATACACTCACTGCAGATGACTGGTACATGTATGGGTTCACCTTTAAAAATACTTTTGCACAGAATCATATTTGAAGTACTTTGTTTGTTGATTCTCTGTCATGTGATAATGATGAGGTATTTTAACATCAATGACAATGTTACCAGTCCCTTATGTCCATTGCTGATCATTTAGCCGTGTTAATCACCTAGATATAATTTAGTATTCTTTTATGTTCTTTATGATTCTCACCTTCTTTATAAATACTAGCTTTGAAAGACGGATGTTTTCTTTGAAGTTGCATGTAGATTTATATGTGGGTATGGCTTGATAGTCATTTTTTTGTTCATTTATCCTCAATTATTGAAAATTGCATTTTTATATTTTCATAAAAGAATACAAAGATGAAAGGAATTTTTGATATGAATGGAAATTATAGAATCAGATGACAAGGAGCACACAAAGTTTGGAGAAAGTTATGACTCTTTGAGGGCCATGAGACAGTTCTAGGATAAATCTAATAGCTGTTTAATATGTTACCTCTTATTTCTTTATTAAACACTCTCTTGTCGTTTGAGAGATTATTACAAATCATATTCAGTGTAGCGTAGGTGGTAGAATGAATGAATTGGAATCTTTTTTGATCTCACTTTGATAGAGACAGCAGTCATGCTTTCTGTTTGACTCATCAATATTCTTATCACAGTGCCACATGATTTATGTCTCATTTGTAATCCATGGAGTGAAACCAAGTACCATACATGTAGTTTGTTATTACTATTTTATTGTTCATTGAAAATGCAGACTGAAGTTAGATTTTGAGGCGAAAATTTAGATAATAATGAATAGGTATAACTCTATCAGCATTTACAGAAACAGAAAAGTATATCATGGTACAGCCGAGATCTGAAAACCTGTATCGTGATTTATACAGTATTAATACTCATAATGTTTTGTTTCTATCTTCTTATAAAGCACTTTTGATACCAGTTAACTGACCAAGGTGCTTACAGTTTTATTTTATGTAGGTGGCTGCATAATTGTATATTTTGACCTCATAGCTTAATTATAGATTTTGTTGTATTCCCTGTCTGATCCATATTTACTAACCATTCTTCCATGCTGTTAGGCTTTTGTCATGCCTAATTGTGCTGGGTGACTGGTTTGAGTTGTCAATTTAATTTCAGTTGACCCCAAATCATGAGAAACATGAGGGTATACCAGGCACCATTGTATCAACGATTATATTCATTGCCATCTTATCAAAACAATTACAGCTTGGAGAAGATCAATATTGTTGAGAAGGTTTTAAATTGACCCAATGAGCTTTAGGTAGGTCATCCTTTACATTATGAAAATTATTGATATTTATGATCTGGGCCCCGTCTTATAAAGAGTTGATATCAATTGCAACTTATTTGCGATGGATATCAATCGCAACTGTGTACATAAGAGATATGAGACTGCAAACTTGTGATTGATTGAAGGACTTGTGATTGATTTGGATCAATCATAAGTCTTTGTAAGACAGGGCCCAGGTCAATAACTGAATCTATTCATACACAAAAGTTTTGATATCTTTATTTATAGTTCACCTTCTTAACTTCTAAAAACTGATTTCTGTTTTGAAACACAGATGAGGAGGAGGATGGTTATGATGAATTCGATGATGACTTTGATGATGATGACTACTACGCACCGCCATCTCGCGATGGACCGGTTAGAGAGGGCAGTGTTGTACTCAGGTCATACTGGTGTGAACTGCCAGAGGTTGTTAGTAGCGGACTGCTGCAGAATCTTACTCCAGAGGAGAAAAAGATGCAAGAGGTTAGAAATGAGATGCTATTGAACATTTTTTGTTCACTAGAAGATGTATAATTTTTCATTTGATGATCACATGGTCTAGGTTTACTAATTCTTCTTCTTTTCATATTCAAAAGATTCTTCAACTTCTTGTTTTCCTTGCCAGATTGATTTTTATACATTTGTTTGTCGTTTGAATGGTTTGTTGTTTGTTGTATTTTTTTAAATCTATTTGACTGCATGCTACTGCAATGCTTCATGTTCTATAGAGCACATTAAATGCCAAGAAAGAACATAAATATAGCCATATGATAAATTTTTCTCGATACCAAGTTCAACATATGAGTTATACATTTTTATTGAAATTCTTTCTTTAGATTACTACATAGAAAAATAGATCATTGTAACTTGTGTAGCATTATCTAACACCCCTATCATAGCAATATACTATGTATGAGGAAGGTTGTAATAGAAAAAAGATTCCTATTCTAACCTCTGTCTCAATTTTTTTCTTTAATTTTGTTAGGCCTTGTTTGAAATCATTACATCTGAAGCCTCCTACCTGAGGAGTTTGAATCTGGTTGTCAATCATTTTGTGGAGGCTCCTGGACTAATAGGACCACAGGGTGTACTCAAGAGACCTGAGCACCACTCTCTCTTCTCTAACATCAAGACTGTGAGGGATATCAGTGAGAGGTGAGTAGCATAGATGATAGTAAATGATAATGACAATTTGGCAGTGGTGGTGGTGGTAGAGTGATAGTGGTGGTGGTGGTGGTGGTGGTGGTGATAGTGTGATTGTGACAGTGGTGGTGGTGGTGGTAGTGCGATTGTGGCAGTGGTTGTGGCAGTGGTCGTGGTGGTGGTGGTAGTGTGATTGTTGCAGTGGTGGTAGTATGATTGTGGCAGTGGTGGTGGGGGTTGGTAGTGTAATTGTGGCAGTAATGGTGGTGGTGGTGGTAGTGTGATTGTGGCAGTGGTGCTGGTGGTGGTGGTGGTAGTGGGAATGTGGCAGTGGTGGTGGTAGTAGTAGTGTGATTGTGGCAGTGGTGGTGGTAGTGTGATTGTGGCTGTGCATGCATTGTAGTGTAATTGTTGCAGTGTTAGAGATGATGGTGATGAGGAAAAGGAGAAGGAGGAGGGGAGGGGTGATAGCAGTGGTGGTGGTTGTGGTAGTGATAATAATAATAATAAATAATAGTGGGTTCTTGTATAGCGCTCATGTCTGTCAGACTTGACACTCCTGGCGCTCCCAAAGATGATGTTGTTGGTGGTGGTGGTGGTGGTGGGTGGTGATGATGATGATGATATGATGATGATGATAATCGGGATGATGATGATGATTGGTCATGTGATATCAGATCATAATGGTGACAGTTACAAATTACATTTTGTTTCAAGATCATAATCTTTTCTCTTCTCAATATAATCAAATCCAACTTGTTCTTTCTCCCCCTCCTTGCCCCCCCCCCCCCCCCCCCCCACCAGACTCCTCTTGGATCTGGAGCAGCATCAGCAGGAGAGCATCCTTCTCAGCGATGTTTGTCGCATCCTTCACAGTCATCTCAAGGACCAACGCTTTGAGCAGGGCTTTGTTACATACTGTGCAAACAACCAGTACCAAGTCAAGATGCTCTATAAATTCAAGTAAGTCCTGGACTGCCAGATAGATAGCCTATTTGTAATTGTTTATATAAAAACCAGTAATGAGTTAGCAAAATAACATTGCAAGCAATTACTCACTTATGATTTTCAATTTCTAGCCAAGGTTAGTGATGAATTCTTTGAAATATTGTAATGTCACACAGTTAAAATTAATTATTTTGCAACAAGGTTATAACCTCCACAACATTTAATGATTGAATAAAGCTACTTACATTTTTTATTATATGATAGTTGATTGGTACCAATTTTACCTAAACATAAGAGGTATGCAAAACCCTTTTTTTCTCTTGATTTTATGAATAATTATCATAAATAAACTTTCAAGAGTCATATCTGGGATTTCAATTTTTGTTTCATGTCAAATTTGGCACAAAATATCTTCCTTGGGGATAAATTTACAGTAAGCATAAACTTGGTAGGTTTCAGGAAGAAGATATAGGTATTTCATTAATTTGGAAGGCTTTGCCTTCTTACTTTATTATGATTTCATAATGCAGAAAGCATTGATTGATTGTGTACTGTTCTACCTCTGCAGAGATAATGTAGCTGTGATGAATGTACTAAGAGAACTGGAAGCGAGTCCAGAGTGCTGCAGTCTGGATCTACTCTCGTTCCTCATGCTTCCCTTCCAGAGAATCACAAGATTACCACTCCTATTGGAGGTACAGTCTAGTCTCTAATTCTGCCTTATTTTAGCCCAAATTTTATAGTCCTTGGGCTCTGTCTCATGAAACCATCGTAAAAGCCTTATCTCAGGGACATCCCCTTCACAAACTTGTTTAAATTCATAACATGCTTTTCAACGATCTGTGTACAAACGTAGACTTATGAAGGCTTTGTGAGACAGGTTATTGTGCTTCAATGTGGCTGTGGTGCAGTACTTGTTTGTCTCCCTCTGCTGGTGTGATTTGATCTCTATTTTCTATTGCTTCTTGGTCCTGAAAACCTAAATTTACAATTGAAAATCAATTGATCATCTTTTCCCCCCCAATTAATCCAATCGTAGCATCTTGAATAATGATAGCATTGACAGAGCTGCATGATACAGTGTGTATAAATAAGTAATTTATAATTCCTTGAATTTAGATATTCTTATATTCTTGCATTATTTATTTTAGGCTGTGATTTCAAGAGCACCAGAAGGGAGTGATATGATGTCCCATGCTGTGGATGCCTTCACTGCTGTCAGATCGGTAATATATAGAACTTATAAAAGATGATGATAATGGGGAAGAGGAGGAGGAGGAATATAATGATGATGATGATGATGATGACGACGACGACCACGACGATGACCACGACGACGACGATGATGATGATGATGATGATGATGACAATGATGATGATGGTGGTGGTGATGATGATGATGATGATGATGATGATGGTGATGATGATGGTGATGATGATGATGATGATGACGATGATGATGATGATGATGATGATGATGATGGCAATGATGATGATGATGATGATGGTGATGGTGATGATGATGATGATGACGATGATGATGATGGTGATGATGATGGTGATGATGATAATGATGATGGTATTTTTATAAGGATAATAACATTGAGGAGGACAGGGGGTTGGAGAAAAGGAGGGGATTAGAAGGATGATGTTTGATGATGATGATGATGATGATGATGTTGATGGTGTTGATGTAGAATGTGATGGTGTTGGTGACGATGTATGATGTATATTAAATTAATCAAGGTTCTCAAGTATTACAAACTCCAGTGTTATAACATCCAATCTTTTTTTCCTAGATGGCTGAAAAATGTAATGATGAAGCAAAGCGAATGGAGATGATCGAAGAGGTGACCATTCTGGCAAGGCTGTTAGACTTTAAACAGGGTATTAAGGTGAGACTGTGAACACTACTTCAAGAATTGAGCTGTTAATATGATGTGTATTTTATTTATTTATTTATCTATTTATTTATTTCTAATCTTTTGACAGGGTAGCCCATTCACCAACAAGTAGTGGTCTTCCATGGGGCCCTGAATAAACATGAACATATTTACATTGTTTATAACGTTTATACAAAACAGTTTTAAAAAATAATACTCATTTGCAAAATAAACATATATCAATAAGCTAGTAAACAGTAATGTCAATAGGAAAATATTTATTAAGTCGCAATTATGTGAATAAGTCATGTTAATATTACAGAACATGCACATAGTATTGTATTGTATTGTTGATAACAGTTGTTATGATCAGCCATAATTTTCTTAACATCTAATTTGATACTCCATATTTGCCATATGACAAAACTGTTAATCATGTTTTTTTATGAGGGATATATGTGCTTAAGATGGGGACTTGTCTTATACATTGTGAAATTGTTTTTCTGGATACCCTTTTCTAATCTTTCTTTGGTCAATATAAAAAATCATTGCTTACTATCCTTGCTAAATAAATATTATATGTTCTTTGTAATGTGTAGTTGCAACCGGAGAGCTTACCTTTTTGTTGCACAATATTGCCCTCGATTTCTTCCAATTACCAAATTTGTTTTACTCTTTTTATTTATTTTCATAGAAAATGGACATCTCACAGAGTTCAACGATCGTAAAGCGAGGCATGCTAGACTCCATCGTCTCCCAGGCAAACATTCTTGGAGGAAAGAAGAAGCCGACAACCAAACGAATTTATTGCATTGTATTCACAGATAAAGTACTACTCGCCAAAGAAAAGACCAAAGGGTAGGTCCACACACTTTCTTCTCTCAGTTTATTTCAAGATGAAATCAACTGCTGAGAGAGACGGGGGCCCGTTGCACAAAACTTATCATTAATGGTAATTACCATGGAAACCTTGATTTTTAGTGGCTGTTGAGCCCTGTTACCATGGTAGTTGCCATTGATGGCAAAGTTACCATCAATGGTAAGTTTTATGCAACAGGTGATGTCGGGACTCTTAGCAGCTCTTAATGTAGCAGGTACATTTCTGAAGTTTTACAAACAAAATCAGGTAGAGAGCTTTAGCTCAGTATGATTATCCATTTTGTTCATCATGCACAAATCTCCTGTACCAAAGTTTGCTTCATTCATTCATTCATTCACTTTATATTACATGTATCTGTTGGGTAGAGGTGGAGAATATCACCTCCAGACATCTATTTTGATATTTCCAGATTAACAACAACAGTTAATTTTATTATGAAATTAGAGGGCAGAATCCTACATTTCTAGTCATATTTTTATTAAATATGAGGACATTTACACTAGTGTTTTCTCCCACACTAACATAAATAGAAGAGAAAAGCTCAGATTTATAATTCATATTTACCAGGTCCCTGTCTTACGAAGAGTTGTTGGATCAATCGCAAGTCCTCCAATCAATTGCAAGTTTGCAGTCTCCTATCTCTTATGTCCATTCCGGTAGTTGCAATTGATATCAACTCTTTGTAATATGGGGCCCAGAACTCAATCTTCTCTTTAAAAACCCTGGGGGCGTTTCATGAAACAATTAGTCGGTGGTTTTCACCGACTAATATCATGTTCACCGACATTTCTTTTGTCACCGACTATTTTCCAGGACTGTGATTGGTCAAATTTAGTCAGCGCTGACTAAATTGTAGGTGATCATGATATTAGTCGGTGAAAACCACAGACTAATTGTTTCATTAAACGCCCCCCTGGGTTTATGATTTCATAATACAGAGAGCAGACCAGAACTGATACCTGGGCCCCGTCTTACAAAGAGTTGATATTGATCCGAATCAATCACAAGTTTGCAGTCTCCCATCTCTTATGTACATAGTTGTGATTGATATCAATCACAAATAAGTTGCGATTGGTATCAACTCTTTGTAATACAGGGCCCAGGTATGATAGACTGATATTAATTTATCTCCATTTTTCAAAGAACATCAAAAGAAAAATGTAAATCTTGGCAAGTCCAATTCCATGTAACAAAGTATTAAATCCTGATACCTTTTTTTTTTCCATTTCAGAGAGCAGAAGCGGTTTGAAGTGATAGACTGGTGTCCGCGGAACCTGGTCCAAGCTACGTTAGTAGACCAGCCTAACATGTGTTCTAAGCTCTTAGACGGTGTGCCTCCTGATTGCCATTGTATCTTAACATTGAACCTACTACAGAACAACCAACGCAAGACAAATGAGTTCATACTCAACGCTAAGTCACTGTGAGTGCACTCTCAATCAAGTATAAGATATTAATAGTGCTGGGGGTGTTTCACAAAGATCATAAGTTGAACTTATCAATTATGGAAAGCCGTTAGCATCTTTGACAACATTTTGTAAAAGTTATTTTAAAAGGCACAACTCTTGATTCAAATCAATCATATTTTCTATTATCATAGGAGATCTCATGTTCTTGATATGGAATTTATGACAAGTCTAAAATACTTGAATTTTTGCTTTTAAACATATTTTATTTTAAGGCCACAAATGGCTCTCCATAATTTTTGAGTCCAACTTAGAGTTAAGTCGACTTAAAATCTTTGTAAAACACCCCCCAGGTATTCATAAAAGCATACCAATTTCAATCCCAGTTGAAGGCCAAATGTAGTGAATTAACAAAATGATGTCAATTGGCATCATTATTTCATATTCATTCATTTATTCATGTCATGCAGAATTGAACTGACATTCATTTCCATCATCATCACATTATAAACACCATTATATACACCAGCTCGTAGTCTAAGATCATCACACCAGCATCTTCTTAACATCCCAAAGACACGAGTATCCTGTGGTGAAAGGGCTTTTTCATCTGCAGCACCTTGTCTTTGGAATAATTTACCATTTAATTTGAGAATCATAACTTCCTTAGAGACTTTTAAGTCCAAGCTGAAATCTTATCTTTTTTAATAATACCTGTACTTGGCACTATGACACTCATCCAAACTTTCTCGTCCAAACTTTCTCATTCTTTCTATTTTTCTTGTGCGCCTCAGAATAGCATTGTCTAGATAGACGGCGCTATACAAATGCCTATTATTATTATTATTAATCTCAATTGAATTGATAGATTACACACACAAAGAAAAAAATATATATCACATGGAAATCTGTACCTCGTCATCTTTTTGGCCTAATCCCTGATTTGATCAGTATCAAAAACTTCTCCTTTGTCATCATCATAATCTCTGTTATCATCTTTATCGTATTATTGAGGTTTTACACATTTGCAGTATGGAACATAATTCAAGTAAGCATGACCTGGATTCCTGTACAAATGTAGTATTCAAATACATGTTAAAGATAAACTTAAGTTCTGGTAAAAAAAAAGAAAATGAATTCTCACAGAATCTAACAAAACTTACACTGAATGTTCAAGATTACAAATAAATGTCATGTGCCAAAAAAATTTGGAAGAAAATGTATACTGGCTAAGTGATGAGCATAGAAAGATAAGGAAATCAAGGTAGTACTAGCCCCGACACCATTTGTGTTGTCCCATATACATCTTTCTGTGTACAGTGATTGTTACTTTACCAAGACCGGGCCAAAATTATGATGATTTTGATGACTTCAGAACCTTGCAGTACACACCATTACTTACATGCTATATGATCAACTTTTTCTGATCCATTCCACACCTTTTCTTTCACAATGCAATCGCATTACCAGAACTCACCTTTATCTTTAATGACATCGTGGTTTCTCTTGTCTTTTCATTTCTTCTTTTGTTTGAATGAATTGTAGGAGTGAGCGCCAGAGATGGATGGATGCCCTCTGCCCACCAACCCAGACAGAAGATGGAGAGAGGATCTACGAGTCATGGGGTGAGAATTAGCAGGATTTGATACAATAGTTAGGAAGCACATCTGTTTGACCTAATGTGCTGCAGAAATAGAAAGGATTTCATATTAGAATTACCGGTAAATGATTATATGATGTCCATATCTTGCACAGCTTTTTCAATCCATGAAATATTTGCCTAAAGATTGAAAGAAGCAATGTATCTTTTTTTTAATTCACATTGAAGAGATAATGTTTGATTATATTGATATAAGATTTTGGCTTAAATTCTATAATCAGACCCACCTTATGAATATTCTTTCCAGTACGATCCACAAGTAAATGTATTTGGGAAAACGCTTTTTCCTTGCATTTACAAAGTGCTTCACAATTTGCTCCAGAACATAATATGAGGACCATTTGAACCGTAACACAACACCTACAAGAGACCAGTTGAGCCAATAAAAATAATGTCATGTTTCCTTAAACAAAATAAGTAGGTCTTCAAAAGTTTCTAGAATTGGTATCAATTAACACAAATTTTCTCACAGACAACAGTATTTTATCTGTTTAGATCCAAAAGGGCGTTCAATCTGTTTTGATATATAAGAATTAATTCCCTTTTCGATACATGTACATTTTGTGAAAAGCCAACTAACAAAGTTGATATTGTCTTTCTCTCTCTCTTTCTGTTAGACTGCCCTCAAGTGCTCTGCGTGACTGATTATGAAGCCAAGGATCGCGATGAGCTTGCACTAGAGCAGTCAGACAGAATAGACGTCTACAAAAAGATTGATGGTAAGAGAATTTAGATGTTTAAGTGTTAAAGTAAGATAATAATGATAACAACAATGCTGGTTATGTAAATATTTATAGTACACAACAAATCTAGCAAGGGTGCTAACGATACTTAATTAAGCACTCTCTATACCTCTTCTATTTTAGTATGGTATTGCTCCAGTAACAAGTTTGCTTTGGGTTTTGTTTCATCAGAGGTGTAGGTTGGGAGTTACCTTTGCATTTGGGTTTAATGTTAGATTTAGGACTATGGTTATGGTTAGGATTATGGTAATGTTATAGTTATGGTTTTAAGTTATAGGTAGGGTTACTCTTAATAAATAATAATAATAATAGTGGGTTCTTGTATAGCGGTCATGTTATATAAGACTTGGCACTCCTGGCACTTCGCAATTATTACCCCAGCTTAAGCATGGCTGCCATACGGCGCTCTAGCATTCCAAGGAATTATTTCCTGCTAGGTACCCATTTACATCACCTGGGTCAAGTGTGGCCAATGTAGATTAACGTCTTGCCAAAGGACATTAGTGCCGCGGTGGGACTCGAACCGTGGACATTGTGATCCACAGTCCGGTGACATAGTCCCTCGACCATGACACCTCAAGTAGGGTTGTGGTTACAATTACGGTTAGGGGCTTAAGTACAGAATACCGGACCACACATCAATTGTATGTATTAAGTGTAGTACATGTATGAGGCTTAGATTTAGAGTTAGAGTTAGGGATAGGGTAAGTGTTGGGATTAAGGTTCCGGGAGGTACAGGCCTTAGGGTCTGGGTCAGGATTAGAAATTATATCGCTCGTTCTTGTCTCCTTAGATCAAGATAGTTATGTAAAGTTCCTTAATTAAATTAAATTAAATTAAGTTCTTCCATTATATAATATGTCTACTTCTCAAACTTTTGTTGCCAGGTTGGTACGAAGGACAGCTGGTTGGAAGTCGAGAGAGAGGTTGGTTCCCTGCATCCTGCGTGCAGGAGGTCGTCAATGATCATGTGAGGGCGCGCATCCTCAAGAATCGTCATAAGATCCTCTCCATGTGTGAGGAGCAGATCCGTCTAGCCATGGTGGGCCCTAAAGTTAAACAGACGCAAGAAGATGTGCTTCGCTCTATACTGCAGGGAGGACGCAAATTATAGTTAGCTTTTGAGCCCAGTGCCAACAAAAACACTTTCATGAAGATATTTTTGTTATTGTTTTGATGTTGCAAGAAATATGGCTATGGGCCTTGAGCTAAGATTTAAAACTCTATACTGCAGGGGGGACGCAAATTATAGTTATCTTTTGAGCCCAGTGCCAACAAAGCACTTTCATAAAGATAATTTTGTATTGTTTTGATATTGCAAGAAATATGGCTATGGGCTTTGAGCTAAGATTTGAAACTGAGTCACGTCTTGCGGATGGTGACGTTAAAGGTCGGTCCACAGACGTTAATAATCATATCTGATTGATACACGTCTGTAAAAGCTAATTACACACACACACAAGTACAAGTGAATCATGACTCAGTCATGAGTATGTGTGACTACCAACCAAGGGACGTATGGTATTACGTCCTATCCTAGGGACTAGGATGATCAGTGATTTCATAGGCACTATGGTTTATTGACATCCGTACTGGCACTATACTCTGCTGGTAATCCATTTTTCTTGAAGGGCTGGTTCCCTCCATTACAAATCAGAAGTGTCAATCATTGAAAAGCATCTTCTTTGTCACGTCTGAGCCTCTCATTTTCCTGTCTTTCATTTTTCTTCTCTTCTTTATGCCTTCATTTTTCTCAGCAGTTTTTTGACTTATTGAAAGAAGAAGGGATATACATGTATTACATATTGAAATGATAACATTATTAGTTAGGAGATAACATGGTGGAGAGCTGAATAATTATGAACAAGTATACACAAATTATATCATTTTCCTTTCAAAGTACACTCCATGTTTACCTCTTGTGAAATACTAAGAATTACTTCAGAGAGCAATATAAGGAGAGTTATCATGTGTCTTTATAGTGAAATATAGAAGTATTTCACACATTTTTATCAGTCATAACCATGGGGTGTAAATGTTGTTTTATCTATTACAGTCCTGTAGCTTTGGACTGTCTTTCTCTTTCAATTTTTGTCTTCCAACACAAAATATCTCCAGGAAAATAAAATGAACATATATATTATGACAATTATGACAAGGAATAGAACATTTATCAATGGAAGTATGAAGTCTTTCTATGTGTGCATGTTGTTATTCTAATGCTGCAACACAACAAATTACAGTGATTATTTTTACACTTGAATTAAACAGTTGGGAAGTATGACGTTGCATGTATATCACTGATTTGAGCAGGGTTTTTTTTTAAACCTGTACATTCCATACATTCAGACAAACCTGCGTGTATTGGTATATGTAGGATACATTTCCTTTGTTTGTATGTTGTGCAGATTGCGCATACATTGTTTTTTTGGAAGCCAGAAGGGCACTAACACTTCAAAATTTTATGAGACAACACCTCTCTGGCGCCAAACAGCCATCTTCAGCCACTGCGGCTTGTGGAGCAGTTTTTTGCTATGATCGGATTTCAAAAAGAAAGTGAAATATTCTTCTAGTTGTGTGTGTTGCAATTTTAGGATTGGTCAGTGAGATCATTTTCCTTTTTATCAAACTAATGATATGATGGGATCTCCATTTTCAGCATTTTAGCTTTCAAGACTGTCTTTCAAGTCATTATTTTTTAAGAGTCAATCAGTAATTGGAAGTAATTTATATTGTGATCCTCTGGCAATTATAATGCAATATGAAGTTTCTAAGCTTTTGAATATATTGTGATATAAACATTCTCATGTTACTCAGACACTGGCTGCTTACTTGTAGTAGTCTACTGGCAATACAGTCTTCCAAAATATTATTAGTGCTGCAAATATTTCCATATCGTTTTCTCACGTTCTTTGTAGAGCAGATTTATTTTTACACTGTACTCAATACCTACAGTTTATGCATTTATATCTTTGTTTAAAAACTTGAATGAATACACGTGTATACAAAAAAGGTATTTTTTAAAAGCCAAATGCTTGTGAAAAGTTGCAGTGAAGTATGTACATCCTTAAAAGCATTTTAACTCAGATATTTTTTACATTCATTAGTTTTTTTAGAAAGGTAAAGTTGATTTATTGGTTAACATGCCCATGTAACATTTCCAAGCAACTTTTTATGCTTTAACCTTTATTAACTGGAAAACATAAATCATGAGGATTTATATAATAGTGTTGTAAATTAATTGTGAAACTTGAGTTATGTGGGATTTTAGAAACATTGTGAATAGTAGAAAGTTTATATTTTTATCTTAGATGGAGAATATACTCCCGATGGAATGTGTATTAACCCACAGAATGTCATTGTATCCATGCTTTGCCCCTTTCAATGTGATAATACCTGTAGCTGTAAATAACTTGATATTTTCAAACCCATTATATGTATATAATTGATATAAACATGAATTAGGTTGTATATACACATTCAATGGCATCACAACCTGTACATATTCTTTGTCTTTTGTGTCCTATTAACAGTCTGTTGAGAGCCAGAAGGTGTTTGAGTTTAACGTCCTTCTGGCTCCAAACAGACAAAATGTTTTTTCGGGTGAGATGGTGCAATTCATCGGCTGTACAATTCTGTTTTCTGTCTATAAAGTGATATGACTACATTTTAGAAAGTAATATATGGCAGTTATGTCAGGAATTATGGGATTCATTATTGTTAAAAATGAAATATCTATCTTTACTATACTGCTCTTATTCAATAATAAATCATATCTTTTCATAATGTACTTGCTGTGTTATTTTAGATCTTATTCAATGATTGATGTGGATTTTTAGAATGACAAACATAACCTTTAAAGGTATAGATAAGTTCTGGTCATGCGATTGCATTGTGAAAGAAACGTTGTGGAATCGATCTGAAAAGGTTGATCATCTAGCATATAAGTATTGGTGTGTACTGCAAGGTTCTGGAATCATCAAAATGATAAGAATGACGATGATGGGGATGGTGATGATGATGATGGTGATGATGATGGTGGTGATGATTGTGATGGTGATGATGATGATGGTGATGATGGTGATGATGACTGATGATGATGATGATGGTGATGATGATGATGATGATGATAATGGTGATGATGATGATGATGATGATGATGATGATGGTGATGATGATGATGATGGTGATGATGATGATGATGATGATGATGATGATGATGATGGTGATGGTGGTGATGATTGTGATGATGGTGGTGGTTGTGATACTAATGATGGTGAGGCATCTTAGGATGATGATGATGAAATCCTGTTTTTAGCTCGACAGCAGTTAATTTTATGAAACTGGAATGCTTTCTTGAAAAGAAACTGATAAGACTCAATGACACAATGGGAAATAAACATTTCAATCAAAGTTTTCTACCAGAAAATACAATTTATTTCCACAAAAATGCTCCGAAGTTCATACAATGGGCACATTGGAAGTACCAAGATGGAAAAAAAATCAGTCATCTCTTAGTCTTCATAGTATATTTCTACAAATATCTTACACAAATTGTCCAAAAAATTCACAAAGATATATTTACATAAACGTTTATATATGATACCTATATCAGCAATTTTGCATATGATCTACTAAATTCAGTGACATATAACTCTATACACTTGTAAAGTGTTTACTTTTTTTCACATGGTAGCTTTCACTTTCATTTTGCATGATCCAATATGTGCTCTACAGATAACTGCTTTCATGATTCATTTCATCAAAGATATAGGTTGAAGCTCAAGCTTAGATTGAGTTGTAGTTTACAGGAGTTTCGGTTTGGGATTATGGCTTGAGTTTTGACAGCGTTTTGAGTTATATATGGGCCAATATTTAGGGTTCTGGATATGACTTGCTGAAGCCTTAGGTTCAAGGTTGAAGTTGATTGTAGAGCAATTGCAACCGAAGCACAGTCACACAATATTATTTTCAGCTACATAGAATATTTTGTACAAATTTTTACATCGTATTTCATAGCACATCTGATGAGCCTAATATGAAGAAATAGTGATTTTTCTTTTCAGACTAATTTTGCCTTTGTAATCACAAAAATGAACTATTTTCATCACCTGATACTGAAAATCTGCAATTTTCTACATTGTGTTTTTTTCCACCAAAGTTTGAAATTCAAATTTATCCAGAAAAAAACAAATGCTGATTGGAACTTTCAATCCATCATAAAATATTCCCTCTAAATGATTACCAATTGCATGGTTTAATACAATTACAATAGTAATCTGATGTAAATCTACAAATACAAATAGTGTTATGTACTTCTTTGATAGTTTATACATTGGCTCCAAGTACTTCTACATTTACATAGAAATGCATGATTAACATTCTATAGTCTTTAGCAGTATATACAAATACAGGTATATTACAAAACACATCTTTTAAGACTACTTAGACTACAGATGTAAATTATGCCATCATCCCCATAAACTTCGACATGGAGATTGAAAATACAATAATGCTTTCATAATTGTGAAATGAGGACACTTTAGCATTCATTTGATTTCATTATTCAATCAAATGACATATTGCTTGATTAATCATTATATCACAAAATGGATATTGCTAAAGAGTACAACTGCGTAGGCACCGAGGAAAATGACAAACTTTTCATACAATTATTGAACTGATTAATTATTTATATTTCAGGAAAATCAAACCTTAATATTGACGGTTTAGAACCAGGGGGGGGGGGGCGATAACTCATATCATTAATACAAAGAATGAATGCCCTCCTGACTCCAAACTAGAGATATTAATTTCATCTAATGCTGAAATTATGAACAGGAATTATAGGAGGGATTACATGAAGCACATCTTGTAGTTTACATATTTCATAAAACATTAATAGACATGTATACTTCAGTCATAACGCCATCCTCCATACAGACTTCAATCATCCATTTATTGGAAATTTGTAATGTTTTGTTCAGTCTATTGTGAGTCTGGTGTCACTCTGATTGGTACTACTTGGGTTTTATTGAAAACATGTTTCATTCCATATATGATAATGTAAACATGTTTCATTCCATATATGATAATGTAAACATGTTTCATTCCATATATGATAATGTAAACATGTTTCATTCCATATGTGATAATGTAAACATGTTTCATTCCATATATGATAATGTAAACATGTTTCATTCCATATATGATAATGTAAACATGTTTCATTCCATATATGATAATGTAAACATGTTTCATTCCATATGTGATAATGTAAACATGTTTCATTCCATATATGATAATGTAAACATGTTTCATTCCATATATGATAATGTAAACATGTTTCATTCCATATATGATAATGTAAACATGTTTCATTCCATATATGATAATGTAAACATGTTTCATTCCATATATGATAATGTAAACATGTTTCATTCCATATATGATAATGTAAACATGTTTCATTCCATATATGATAATGTAAACATGTTTCATTCCATATATGATAATGTAAACATGTTTCATTCCATATATGATAATGTAAACATGTTTCATTCCATATATGATAATGTAAACTTCACAGAAAAAAATTGAAAAACATGAACATGTACATTTAATAATCCATGCTTGAGTAATTTTGTAATACTTTCTTTTAGCTCAAGAATAACCTGCCTTAATATCTTTAGAAACAAAGACTTTCAATTCATTCTGTCATCAATGCAAGCCATATGTAATATAGCACAAGTTGTATATTATCAAATGATATCAAATATCCAACGTTTGTAGTTTTAATTGCTTTTACTCAATTGCTATAAGCACATCACTTTTACTTCAAAGCACAAATTTCTTTATAGCCCCATTTATTAATGTCGATGTATATAACATAAATGTACACAAATCAATTACAATAGTAAAATATACAAACAAAAAGCAGTACAAAGTAAAAAGGAAAAGAAAAAGAAAAGTCCAGCTCTTCATATAAAATCAAGATAAGTTGAAACTCTAGGCATATACAAGTAAACATGATTTTAAATACGCAAATAATGAGTATGATAAATTTAAAACAGAAGTAAATAAAACATCTTCATATCACTTTCCAATTACTATTTTTGCCCAAATCATTGCTACATGTAAAAACGCCGTGGTAGTTTTGTTTTTGTGCAAATGCAGACATTAGCCCAAACGCTCCACATAGCTGTATAAAAAAAATCTGCCCATACTCAGTGAGAGTGTAAGATAAACTGTAAAAGAAAAAGAGCACAACAAAAAAGTTGACTGATATAATTTAGAGGGTGAAAATCTCATTGAATGATATAACCAAGTGCACACATTTGTATTAAAAAGCATTGACAGAGCTGTCCAAAATATAAATTAGATAAAATTAAGTTTCACCAAAATGAAATCTGCACAATGAATATGAAATTCAGATACGGTATCAAAAAGGAACAGTCCATTATTCTAACATTCTGATTTAATAGGAATTTAAACCCTCACACATTTCAATTCAAATAAAATAAGAATTAACTTTCCTTTGATATCAACCATCAATATGTCACAAAACAAACATCAGGTGGGTTGTAACAGACTGCTTTAGTCTAATACTGATTCTGTATACAACTTAACCATGGCTAAGTTGTATACTGAAAGTTCCTTAAAACCAGCATCGGTATTCAAGAGTAATTGGGTCAAACACAGGTTTGAATTTTTACATGAAAAGTCCAACAAGCGGGTAACTTGTAAAAACTTATTTTTCAAGCCTTATCTAGATATTTTAGCACACAGTTTTAATAGCTGTACTCAGAGACATCATTGTTCAGCTTTGATAGGAAGACTTATTCATGATTATCAATTAAATGACATCAATGACTTTCTTTTTGACAAGTTCATCAGGGTAGTTTATAGATATCTGAAATCAATTAAACCCCCAAAAGTAACCTTTTTAAAGTTGCTCAAGCACGGGTATATAGAGGGCAGCATACGAACGTACGCCCGGGAGCATAAAACCCATTGGCTCAGTGTTATGTAATGATAGCCAAGTTGCATACTTCACAAACGACTACATACCCATGCCTGAACATCTTTAATGTGTCTTGAGAAGTGATTCCTTATTCCTTTCTTGTTCACTCACAATAACTGTCCCAAATATTTTTTCAGCAAGTTCTTGATCGTTAGATACATCTTATTGACGCCCTCTAGTAGCAGTGAGTGGGATCCTCCTCCATGGTTTCGAGCTTAAAGCCCCACTGTACTACTTGTAGCTACTTGCCCCCTCTACATAGAAAACAATGCCTAATCGGTGACCATTGGTCCCCCATGATGCTCTTTTTCTTATGTTAATTGAGAGCTGATTTGATGAGATAACCACATGTCCAGTGACCTTGCAGGGTGGTCTAATCCCTCCAGTACACTTGTACAGATGGGCTTTAAAGCTAGAAATGGTACCAGAGTGGAGAAATCCAATGCTTCATATCTCACAGAATACCCTCTAGTATGACATTCTATTGAGCGCCCTCTAGCATGACTTTGTAGTCAGTGATGCAGCTGTAACCGTGATCCTCCTCATCGTCTGACTCGGACATCTCACTCTTAGTGTCTTGTTATAAAGAAGCTTCATATCTTATTGAACGCCCTCAAGAATAACTGAAATTCTATTGAGCGCCCTCTAGCATGACTTTGTAGTCAGTGACACGGCGGTAGTCAGGGTCCTCTTCATCGTCAGAGTCTGACATCTCACCCTTAGCATCCTGCCTGTAGAGAGGGTTGGTCCCAGAGATGACCAGCTTACACGGGAGCTGGTCCTGATGGAGGGTGTAGAAGTGCACCAGCTGGGGTAGGTCAGGGAAGTCTCGTCCAAATCCCTGTCATTGAAAGAGGGGGAAGAGAAAATGGGTGGAAGAAGCTGCTGAGTCAAATCTGTTACTAAAAGAGGGAAATTCCAACATATTGGTTATATTTTTATCCAATTAGATACCAAATATCATGGAAAATTTGAACATAATCAAGATCAAAAATGTATATTCCCTAACATTTGGCCTGATTTGGGCTATACTGGCCCAGCTACACATCCCCAATCAGTTATATCGGGAGGAATGACCAGATTGTCACAGAGATTCAGTTCACTTTTCCCTCAAGGTACAGGTGACATCAAATACTTAACAATAATAATAATATGCTTGTAAGTAAGCAACCAGGGACCAATGGCTTTAAGTCCTCTCCAAGGGACTTGGTAATGAGGATTAATGCCTTACCAAAGGGCATGAGCTCATTGACTTGGTTTTGAACCTGGGACCTCCTTGTAACAAAACCACTGCTCTACCACTCAGCCATCGCTTCTTAACTTTTTCACTTAATATCTATGAGGCAGGAACAAGAGACGATGCTACGTACCTTGATGGTGTAACCGCCATTCTTTGACCTGACCAAGAGGTAATTAGCCAGACTAGAATCATTGAAGTTAGTATCCACCTTCATAGAGAGAGCATAGCTACCAGGATGACTCTTACTCTCTCTCACAATGAACGCTCCTTTCTCTTGTTGATGAAGAATCTCAAATGCTATTTCTCTGTAACATACCAATCAGAAGATATTCAAAGTTTTATTCAAATTCCAAATACTGCTTAAAAGTAACATGACTATTTGCAATGTACAGTAAACGAAACTATCATCTCTTTCTCTTGCTGACGAAAAAGGAAAAGAAAAGGTAATATCTGTTTCCATAAAAATTGAATATTACATATACTTTGTAAATCATTTATCCTGGCCCTTGAGGAATTATTGCATTTGTTTATGATATTACATTTAAAAAATTGCCTAAGTTATCAAAACATAACTTATTTTTTTATGTATATGGTATCCTATGAAAGTCCATAAATGATGTTTGCAAGTTTAGGTTTAAATTGTATTTCCATTGACCCAGTGGCCTTTCAATCTTGATATTCTATATATATCAATCGTATGCAACCCATTCTTAACTTCTCCAAAAAACACAAAATGTAACTAAAATTGAAAGTACAAGTGAATGGGGTATTTATACCAACATTTCTTATGATATGAGGCTTGCTATTCTGTATATCAGACTTTAGGGGACATATTTCAAATCCATTCATGTAAATACACAGGTGATAGTTAATGTTTTGGAATATAAACTTACTTTGGAATGCCTGCTTTAAACCATGGTGCTACCACTCCCTTTCCTTGCGCTGTATCTTCTTCTTCATCATCATCATCTGGTATCTCAGTGAGAGATGTCGATCTGATATCAGAAAAGAATGAAAGAAAACATGCCCTGATGAATAGATTTATCAATTGTTATTTTGTTTATTTCTTGTGCTGAATACAAGAAATGGAAATGAAACCTGTTGAATGTGGTCTTATATGTTTCCATGTGAGTTGAAAGATACATTTGATTTTGAGTTTGAAATTGAGTACCGGTATGTTAAGAATGATAAGAACTTACACAAAATATCACGACAAACAAAATAAAATTATACATTACATTCAACAATTAATGGATAAAATTTTAACAAGATAAGGGGGAATCTAGATATCAACAAAAATTTACATAAGTTCTGCTTGTCATGTTTGACACTCATTTGATTAAGACCAGACCAAAATTGTAACAAGGCAGGATGAGCAAGTGGCGCAAGCAACATACATATATCAGTCACTTGCAGGACGCTATCGTTGTAGCATTGATAGATAGATCTTTCCTATAGAAAGAGTGCCAGGAGTGACAGACATGAGGAGAGTATACAAGAACCCACTATTATTATTACTATTATTAAACGTGCCCTACAATGTTATAGAATTTCACTCCCCTGTCAAAGATACTTTCTGACTAATGTCCTACTTGATTACTTTCATCCTATCATTCCTACCTTGGAGGGAGAGGGGGAGGTCCTCCTTTGAGCGGGATCTTCTTGCATCGGAACTGTCCAATCTCTACTTCCACCTTGTGACCTACATGACCCGGTGACCTCAGCGATCTTTTGTCTGGTGATCCCGGTGTCCCAGAGTAGGTCGTATCAACAATGGAATTAGCTCTCGCTTCATCAAGTTGTGTTCTGGGGTTATTGGATGAGTTAGTATCAGAGTATCTTGATGAGGCTGCACCCCTTGGCTGTGGTAAGCCATTGGACTGGCCAATCTGCATTGTTGATTGTTGCGATTGAGGAAATCTTTGGCTGGAGGCCACTGCAGCATTGGACGGGGTCGGGTCAATGACATTTGACCTCGAGCTGCTCCTCGATAATCCCTCACTTGAAGACTGCATCATTGGAGACACAGCAGCGACTATCGATGCAGCTCCATTCAAAATCACATTTGAATCTGCACTAGGTCGCCTCGGAACAAGAGGACGTTGTTCAGCCACTCCTGAAGGGTCGACCTTTAAGAGGTTTGAAGAGGATGGTGGAGAGACAACTATTTCAGGAGATATCCGCCTTGGTGCTGGCACAGGCCTTTTGCGTTCACTTGGTCCTTCTTCTTGCGATGTGGGAGGAGGTGGCGGCCTTGGAGGCGCGCTTGGCTCTACTGCTTTAGCTGGAGTTCTTGGAACAGCATAATCAGCCCGACACCGCTCTCGACTCTCATCCTCACTCTCATCACCTGTCATCTTGAAGACATGTCCATTTTGAATGCACGGTACGCTATCATCGCTTCCGTGACTGATATTACCTCTCCTCTCTGCTTCATCTTCTCCAAGGGCACTATCACCATCATCTTGCCGATGTCCATTCTCCTTCTCTCGTTCACTGTGGTCCTTGCGCTTCAGCTTGTCTCGGAAGCTCAACTTCGGTCGTGCAAAGTCTTCTTCCGTGGAGTCTACATCATACACAGCATTAATAAATTGTTCCGCACACTTCAGCTGATAGCGGAAGTTGGCTTCCTCGTCGAAGCTTCCAGCACTAATGACGCTCTCCCTCCCGGTAAAATCCATCTTGTAGTTCTCAAAGGCATACACATCATCCACGGTCATATCATCGAAAGAATTCTCGCTTCCTGATCTGCCACCATACACAAACGGCGGCGGTACACTCGAGTCTTGAAGAAGAATCTGTCCTGTGGAATGAGGTCCAGCAGCAGCGGGCGCAATACCAGCAATTAACGCGGGAGGTGGGTGCTCGTCTTGGAGCAAGATTTGGCAAGAAGTGTTACTGTCTGTTTCAGAGACAACTGAAAGTGCAGAGTTGCGTCCTAGTGCGCTCTGTAAGCTCCATTCATTGTAAAAGTCTACTTCGTAGTACGGTGCTGGAGGCAATGGTTTGCTCTTCTGTGTCTGTTTGGCAACCTATCAAAATAAAATGTAAAGGGTAGATTATATACACTCTCTAGAGGAAAATATTTTCAAAAAACATGTTCAAAATAACCTCATTAAACCCACTTAAAATTAATGAGCAGCAAAATATAACAACAAAAGTGTAATGCACTTGCCAAATATGTTCTTAATGTGTATTTTATGTTACATGTATATAGCTGATTTTTTAATGAAATAATGTCTTTTTAACTGAATGAAATAAATTGAATTGAATTGAATACCTGAACAAGTCTACAATCTTAAAAAGCAATTCAGTATAAATAGATTGTAAACCAATAGAATGATATTTAGCACAGGAAAAATAGAGAATAGTATCTCTGTTTATACAACCTTTATTGTACACTACATTATCTTAATACAATTCCACTGTACATCTGTAGAGTCTTCTTACATTAACATAAATAAAAAGGTACATTGCCCCCTCACCAATACTCTTCCTCCCTCCCCTCTTCTTTCTAGCTATTGTTATCAGACACCTAGTCACCGCACATCTCAAGGGATAATGGGAGAGGATGATGGACCCCAAGGCTTGAATCCACCTGGAATACAACCTCTAAACCTTTTGTTGAGTTACAGAAAGCCTTCTACACCTTGTAGTGACGGGCAGGAAGGGATACGATCAGATACAGATCAATGGAAAACAAACATTACCCCAGAAATGATAAACAGCACTATCTGAAAACTCTGGAGTGCTCGAGTGCAAGAGTGCAATGTCTTCCCAAGACTAGAGAGCTTGCTTGAGAATATTGTTTTCAAGTTTGAGAGATCTTGCTGTGAACTTTCAGACATAAATCGTCTGTTTGGAGTCACAAAGTCGGTCACTTCAATACTTTAACACAGAATAAATGCTCTTGTTGCTCCAAACAAACAATGCATCAGATTAAATTCTTGCAGTTTTCTGGATTGATTGAGTACCGGTGCAAGAGCAAGATGTGTGTCCCAGTAAGAAAAGTTAAAGTAGAATACTGCTTTTAAGTGTTTGAGGGAAGATTCTTGCTCTTCTCTATATAAAAAGGCTTCTAATACTGAAAAAGTTGGTAGGATATTCCAATAGAAGGGACTTACAAGGATCTCTACAGCTTCAGATTGAAAGCTTGTAAAGGTCTTGTTTAAAGGTGATTAAGGGGTTCAACTGTGATAATGTATGAACTGTTTAAAAACAAAGACTATAAAGTGCTTGGGTTACAGTGCATAGCGTAGAGTATTCGGTGTTTTACCCAGACCTGTGTTTGAATGAACAGTGTAAATCCAAAGGTACACAGTCTACCCTGCTAAAGATATAACTAAGTTAAAGTGTATTACAAAAAATTATTTTCAAATATATAGGGCCTATTTGGTGTCTGGAATTAAAGGAATGTGGTGTGTATTTAGCTGCACACAGGCAGAGAATAATCTGTTTGAATATTCAGTGTTTGGTGTAGATTGTATATGGTTTATGGAGTATAATGTAATCAAACACCCAGTATGTCAGGTGTCAGGTTTAACACCAAACTGACTTACAGGCTCTTGGGAATAAGCGTCCTTCGGTGAGAGAGGAGGTGCTGATGGTGACATCGGTCTTCCATCGGGATCCACTTCGCTATCAGGATCAACGATCACCCAACTATCCCTATAGAAAAATAATTACAATGAAAACAGGGGTTTAAAATCATAACATATTTTTTTAAAGTGAAATATACATAAACACTTGTACACAACACTAACTGCTATTGTATTTTATTTTATTTATTTTATTCATTCATTTCTGTTTTTGCATATGACCTTGTTACATTTGAAAACCCATTTAATCCTTCATTTCAACGGAAGCATTACAAAAAAAACGCACTCAATGAACTTATTAACAATCCAAATGTTCAAATATTGATATATTTCTTGAATGAATGAAATTCTTCACAACTATCTGCACCTCATGATACTGTATCGTACTGGGTATACCATCTATCATCGCAAAAAATATTCCTACATTTTTTGGAAATCATTACAAAAGTACCCTTAAAGATACTATGTCCCTTTTGCAGCCAAACTCAATTTCTGTAGAACTTTGCAGGAATTATGAATATGTTATGTATGTCCTATCTGTGAAATTTAAACGTTAGCAGTATCCTAATATTCAAATAATGCAAGGAAACCTGTTTACTTGCTAGACTTCACTGTCAGACACTATTGTCAGTATTGAGTGACTGACTGGCTTTTTCTTCTTCTTTGGTAATAACAGACATAAAATGAGCTGTAAAGAATTTGTCTACATCGATAACCCACTTCTTGTAATGGCCAAAATTAAACTGATTGAATCTTTGCGCAGCATAAAACGTACGGCCATGCGGTACAACGGTCTGAAAATCAAGACTATTGCTTATTGGCTCTGTAGCTCCTAAGTCGATTTGACAACTAATAGTCGTTATTTTCCCACTTAAAGATATTTTCAAGCCCCATTTTTTTAAGGGGAATTCTAAATTAGTATTATCTTTCACATGTCATTGGAATTTAACCTTCTCATTTTTTTGGCCTGCCAAAGGGACATAGTACCTTTAACATCTAAACAACAAATTTAAAATGGGTTTACCTCATAGACGGATCTCCAGCTGGCTCTGAGAGACGACTGCCAAGCGACCCACTGTGATTGGACGCTGGCAAAGGTGGGAGTGGTCCTCTCGACAAATCACAGGGCTGTGTTGGTAATGTGGGCGGAGCTTCCATAGCAGCGATCAGGTGTGGCTGCTTGTGTTGTATCTTTCCCGCTTGCTGTTTAGCCTACAGAAGCAAATTAGCAACACAAGAATATTTAAATAACATTATGAGGTCAAAGGTCAGTGTTAATCTTCTTCTGCAAAGTACTCGGTTACACTGACTGGTCTAGTATAACATTAACTTCCAACTTTAAAGCATGCACATTTCTAACTCCCTGTTCAGCACATGTACATACACGTCCAAAATATAGTAAAATAAAATATTGCACCTTCAAAATCAAGGAAAATTTGCACTGTAGCATGACTAGAGCGTATGTACGGTAGTCAGAATCACTTCTCATCTCTAACTTGTCCACTTTCCACTGTGTTTTGTACATGCACAATGGACATGTATCTGCATATTGCAATTCAATTACAATTGTTGAGTGCAAAATCATGTCAATGACTGAATGTTGAACTAACATCTGGTCATATTGCATAAACCAATTGTGTGCAGATAGAGAGGAAATGTAAGTTCACCAAACGGATAGAGAGGTAATCAACTTGATAAAAAATAAACAGTGCTGAAAAAAAAAGAATAGATATGCATGGTACTGGCTACCATTACTATGGGGGGGGGGGTGTAAATGGTATTCTAGCAGTTTTGGACGCTTAATTCATGTTGAGAATTGTCTCACAGCATGAGAATATCACTTGTAAACCTGGCAAAAGTGAAGTCTGAAGTCTCTCACCAATCTAAAATAAACTCTTAGATTGGCCAAATCTTTACTTTAGAGAATGATGATATATGTTAAGAATTTAAAGTGATATTATATTCATGAATTTCCCATGATAATATTATCTTTGGAACATGAAACGTTACATGATCAATGCAGTAGGTCTATACATCCAGGGTTAGATAGGTAAATATGTGGTACTGTAGTTAGATAAGGTTAGGAAGAGAGGGAGAGGGGAGAAAAGCATGAAAGAGATGAATGAAAGATGCATTGAATCTTGAAGACACAATATATGGAAAAAACAGAGCGGGAAGAGAGGGAGGGAGGGAGGGAGGGAGGGAGGGAGGGAGGGGGAGGGAGGGAGGGGGAGGGAGGGAGGGAGGGAGGGAGGGAGGGAGGGAGGGAGGGAGGGAGGGAGAGGAGAGAGAGAGAGAGAGAGAGAGAGAGAGAGAGAGAGAGAGAAGGGGTACAGATTCCTGCAAAAGGGTTAAGACAAAGAAGACAGTAAGAAATAGTCAAAGTGAGATGAAGAAAAAATATTGGAAGAGAGGAGGTTGATTGAGAGAATGATATAAAGAGTAAGAACGACGAGAGAAAACAGTTTAATATCAGCTTTGATATTTGATGAAGTAAATGAAATTTTGTATCATAATAAGGTAAATCTGATGTCAGCATTCCCCTGAAAATAAGTTCAAACTTCAAAGTTCAAGAGAAAATTAGTGACACCTCCATAATCACAGCTCCCTGGCTTTCAAATTATGTCCTGAATTAATTAGTATTTGCTTAATTACATTTATTAATTAATTAATTACAAGCAGTGTTAATTAGATGATAAGCACTCCAAACTTCATGAGGTGGGCCAGGATACAGCAATGACAAGCAGAGTTTTCTTTTTTAATATTCTTAGGGGAAAAATTGAAAAGGGGGGAAAAAACCCAAATAGGACTGCAAGGTCAAAATATTTCTTTAAAATAAAAGACACACCATAATCTTAAACAGCAAAGAACACACTTTGTAGACATTGCATCAGCTCATTAAATATAAGGAGGGGAATTAAAATTGCAAAATTCACAAAAATTAACATGTAGCGATTAGTACATGTATGTGTTTACAAAGTTCTATCAACTCAAACATGCATGTATTTTATCATGATGTAAGTTTGTAAGATGTTGTTTTGAATTAAGTACCAATATTCTTAAGCTAATGTACAACATTAGAAATGAGAAAACATATTAATAAGAGTAACTTTAAACCCTCAATATTTCAAACAAAAAATTGAAGAATCTAGGAGGGTAGAGATTTATACAGAGAAAACAAATTCACTGCAAAACCATGATGATGGGATCATTGGGATGAAGTCATGAATATTATATCATGAGAATTAAGGATGATAATTGTTATGAAGCAAACACATACTAAGGGATGAAATGGAGATATTATATTTGCTATGAATTATGATTATGAAGATGAAAAAACAATTACCACAGAGCTCTTTCGGTTTATCTGAAAGGTAAGAACAAAAGACACCACAAAATGATAACATAATGACGTCATTCACCAAAATGGTCCTCCTGCAATATCAAGTTATCTTTTAATTGTGGGATTTTCACTCATAGAAATATGTGATGAAAAAAAAAAGTTTCAAAGAAGACTGGCCACAGTATGATACGGACGATATATGATTAACAATTACCTCTGAATTACTCTTCAAATAATGATGCTATTTATCATTCTAGGATTAGTCTTATATTTCTTTACTTAAATAAAATTATCACTTTTCCCTTACAATTACTGATCACTATTCTTGAAAGATTATGTTGTTGTTGTTTTTTTAAACATTTTACAAAATTTTACAAAAATCTTAGCTACTTTTAGATATTATATAATACTTGTTTTCTCTACTAAAATATAAGTTAATCCTCTCTTCAAAACCTCTTTTCTCCTGCTACCCACAAATAAAACTATTTTCTAGTTTATACCTTTAATTCTGATTCATGATAAGAACACTGGGACAGCGCCTATGCTTCAGACATACATGTTATAATCAAAATATGTGTAATAATTATGCTTGCTCAGCTAAAATACTTGCCCCATCAAGATATTAGCTTGTTCTACACTTCAATATATACCGCTATGTATACTCATCATGTAGTGTTACATCTGTTTGTCAGAATTCACCCATGTGCACTGAACATTTCAAAAACATCAACAGACTTGTGGACAGATTGATGTATCCAGTATGTATCTAGGCTATCATATCTGTGCCTCTAACTCGATCACGCCCCTGCCAACATTTTTACTACTTTTCCTAGATTCTGAATCCCTCCCTAATGTGGAACTACTATCTGTTTCCTACACTTGCCTAATTAAAAGATTCCATGTCAACCTCCCAGCATGTTTCCACTGAAGTTTCTCTGCCCTTCCCCTTCCCGGCTCCAAACCTTTTCCCCAAAACTGCATCTTCTCCTAGCAGGTTTTCTTATTTTTGACATATAGCCATCTTTAATATACTACATGCATTTTGCATAATCATCCCCTACCTTGCTACAGTAAACTATTTTATGTTATTTTTGTTTTATCCTTCATGACTATATTTTTTCAACATCCCTTTCTGGAATCTGAATCTTTAAAAGTACTCTTGATGCATGGTTTTACTTCTGCACTACTTTTATTTCTCCAGCTCTTCACTTCTTGTGTGTCTCTTGCTTTCTGTTACTCTAATTTGTTACTTTATACTGTTGTCCTATCATATATTTTCTTTCTCCTCATCCAATTCATGTCCTCTGCCCCCTCCACGTGATCTCTCTCTCTATCTCTCTCTCTCCCCCTATCTATGTCCTCATAAATCTCTCCCCCTTTGGTTTCCTCCATCTTCATCTAACAGATTATCCTCATTTTATCACCCTCTCTACCCTCTCCTCCTCTGCTCCATTTCTTCCCTCCATCTCAATCAGACTCTCTCCATCCCATACATGTAGTCCCAACCTTCCTTCATCACTCTTTCTCTCTCTCTCTGTCTCTCTCTATTCCCCCCCCCCCCCCCCCCCCCCCCCCCCCGTCTCCCCTTACCTGCATTTCCTCCGGCCCTCACTGCACCCCTACCATTTATCTTCCTTTTTAATTTTTGCTCACTCATCTGCATCTCCCCTCACTACCGAGTAATTAAACCGAGCCCTGTCAGGAGCCATTTGCCCTCCCAATTCGCCCCTTTCCTCTACGCAATGAAGAGCCTGTTCACACTAGAAGGGATTTATACAAAACTTGTACATGGAACATTGCATAAAGAATAATTGTAATGCGAAAGGGTTGTACAGACCACCTAACAACATTGTATAAAGAAACATCTTATTCAGAAAATAGTTTTGAAAAGGTCAGTTTATATGATAGGCAGCCAATCGTCAGTACCTGTAGAGTAATGATAAACCCTCCCCAGTTTAAATATGCTTTTTGTACGATACAATACTGACATCCATCCGCAGCACATTTGGTGCCATACAATTACTCTTACATATTATAATCAATATTTAAAGCAGACCCTGATGCTTTATCAACTTTTTATACAGCACCATGTTCAAACCCTTGTTCCCTAAGCTAAACCACGTTTCATTATATGTTCAGACTAGACACAATTTAATAACTTATTGTACAGGTATACAGTTTTTGTACATGATGTATTTGGCTAGTCTGAACAGGGCTGGAGATTGCAGGACCACATGGTGTTCCAATTCAAAAACACTTCCTCTTTACCGAGTAAGATTAGCTCAACTTATAACACTTGAAGAACCAGGTATATATGTACAAACCAGTTTTTAATTTCAAAGTTGCGGAGGAGTATGAAGTCTACTGACTTTCCCGACAAATATCTTTGAGCTGCTTCGACCGTGTGTGCTAGCAAGATGTACATTTATTTTTTGCTGGAATATTCATCATGCATGTTTGTGCTATAAAGATTCCATGGTTCCTAAAGTTGTACAGTTACAGGTAGCTCCATCATGTTGTTGACCAAAAAAAAAATCCTAATTGTAGAAACTGTCCTACATTCTGTTTTTATATTTGGAAAATATACTTTTATTACAAACCTTGGTATTTTTAAAAATAATCTTTTGGCATGTACAAACAAGAGTTTCTTTTGTCATAAGCAATAGTCAGCAAAGTTTGACAATTTGATGAAATGAGATTTCATTGGAAAAAAGGCAACTTCCTCATGCAAATACATAGAATTCTTTCTATACCACTATACAGTGGCAAAAAGTTGGTGAAAATTTATCCAAAATCCCACAATATCGTAAAATTCATTCCACTTTTTTTTAAAACTAGATATATTAATTCCTTCCTGACAGTTCCTTCAGATCAAAAAATTATCTTATCAATCCCTAAACTTGCCTCGTTTAATACATTTCAAAACTAATTATGATCCTAATTCAACTATCATTCCGTAAACACATCAGAATTTGGTTTGGTGCCTACATGTAAGATTAGAGGCATGCAACCATGATGATCGGCTGGGAGGAAAAGGGAGGAATTAGGAGAGGGGAAGGTAGGGGCAGATTAACTGGTAGGATGCGTTCGGTAATTTGTAAAAGAGTGTTCAGACTAGTTGAAGTTTATACAAAATGCTTAAAAAGAACCATCCTAGTAGGAATCTTCGTAGAGCGAAATGGGGCATAGAGATTATCTCAGACATCTACATCGCATAAAGAGACGTCATATAAAGAGACTAGTTTTTTTTAAGAGATTAATTGACATGACAGCTGGCCAATCGTCAGTCTGCATTCCTATAAGCCCGCCCACTAATATGATTTTCGTACTATATGATGTTCAAATTAAAATGGGGCCCTGATTCTTTATTGAATTTTCATTCAAAACTATGTTCAGACAAGCGTTTTGCTATAGGACATTCAGATTAGAAATTATAATTATTATTACTTATCGTAGAGCTATAGTTAAAACCTACATTTTTTAATATCACTTGTAAGTTCAAAGATTTTTGGAACTTTAGAATGAAAGGTGGGGATTGGTTGAATTAGGGCCTTTGTTGAATACTTGTACGCTTTAATAACTCACATTCTTAAGAAACATTAATCAGACAAATCAATTTTCACATACCGGTACTAAAATTACAAAACTTAATAAGGGTATGAATAAATGAAATCTGAAAGTCTGATCGCGGAGTAAGAGAGGGGAAGGTAAGGGGAGATTATCTCTTAGGATGCGTTTGGTAATTTGTAAATCTTCCTCCCTTATCATTAAAATCATTTTAGCCTCCAGCTGAGCATCTTGGCTCTGCTACTATGCATGCAGACCAGCTCGCAAGATCTCCCAAACTTTGTATATTGTGAAAGTTCTTTTAATTTTGGTCGAAGGTATTTGAGAGAAGATGGAAACCAGTTTGCACTTTACAACATGTATCTATCTCATTCTTTGTGCAAAAAATGGCAATTTTTGAGAGAGCAGTACAAATAAATCTCTCTTAGATATTACCCCAACAACCAGAAGTTTTCAAAAATATTTTAAGGGGAATTTAAGCAGCATACATTAATTGTTTTGTCACTCACTCACTCCTGCTGTTCCTTAATCAATTAATATCATCCTTCCTACAAGTAATCCTTTACATTTACATACAAATGTTCCCTGTAATTGTAGAGGTGAGACTGTGATGACTGATGAGGGGGTGGGGAGAGGGGGGTGGGGGAGGGGGTGGGGAGAGGGATTGTGGAGGGGTATGATAATGACCACAGGAAACAACATGAATGTATTTACAGCATGACGGAGACCCACAGTGGATAACAGTGATACATATGTAGTGTTATGACAAGCAAACACATAAATTACACTAACCGTAAATGACTTTCAAACCCATCCACCCCCTCCCACCCCCCCCCCCCCCCCCAAAAAAAGGGGGGAATTTGGTGCATCTGCAGATAATATCGGGCTAAAGCAAAATGAATACTGTTATCTATACTATACCTCAGAACTGCATTATTAACTATGGATTGCACATTACAAAAGTACTATCCTTAATCGAGCTCTTTCTTTGAATATCCCTCTAAAGAATTTCTCAAACACTTCAAACCCAATTTTTCTTTCCATAATATATTCATAAATATTACCCAAATATGATCTTGAAAAATTATGAAGAGTGATAGTGAATTATCGAACAACTGATAAACGATAACAAAAATCTCCTTAAGATATATACCAATACCATTGGCTTAAGATATATAAGTGAGTTTGCTGATGAATGTAAATCTTCTTACCCAGACTTTACTCTGTCCAACAGAGAATCCTCGCACCCTGTCTGAAGACAGCACTGGTTGGTTTGCCATCAGGACTTCAGGACGCTTTGCTTTAAGCTCCTCCTCCTCCGCCAAACGAGTGATCTGCGTAAAGTACTCCTCCTGCTCGCGGTTGAGTTCATCCACCAGCTCGTAGAACTGCTTCTTGCTGCGGATGCTAGCGTAAGCAACCTTGAAGGCCTTGCTGATAATGGCATTGATCTCCTCTGCCTAAGAGTGCCCAAAAGAAAGAAAAAATCATATGCATCCATTAATATTCAAAGTCAAGAGGAAAATTGTACAATCAGAAAGGTTACGTTTCGGAATTCAAAATATCATGCCCTGCGGATGATGGCATTAATCTCCTCTGTCTAAAAGTGAACTTGAAAAAGAGAGAATCAAAATCATGAATAAGCAGTAAAAGGAAACAAATATTTTAGAATATTAAAACTGAAATTAGAATACAACCTGCTGAGACTTGTTTGAATAACATGAGCTTTGACACCATTGGTAAATAAAATGCATTATTTAGAAATGGGTTGATAAACGAATCCTGTGATATTACCAATGGTCGCATGGGAGATGATGAAGATAAATTTCAGTAAATCATGTGAAATACCTTATAATAATTATGAGGTGAAGATTTGTAATTTGTTTATGGTTATGTTTCATCCATCATGCATTCTCATGCCATAGGATGGCGGCTCAAGCAAGTTTTTAAATGTTCTTAATTGAATTCCATTATCCTACCTGTACAGGATATTTAAAAGGCTCCAAGCAGAATTCATCAAAAAAGAACCGTACTTTGTTTTAATACATGAAACCTCTCAGGAATCTCTAAATTATGAATTGTAAATATTCCTGTTTTTTACAACATAATATTAATGACTTACGACTCATAGTATATATTCACAGTTTATTTCAAAGGTACAAATTGAATAATTTATTTGTAATTTGTATAATTATTCTACACCGTGTTGATTATTGAAAATGAATTCAGTTTTATAGATCTTAAATTGAATTGAATTTTCTGCCAAAATACTCTCTGATGGAGGCAATTACAATGATTGAAAGAATGAAATTTTAATAATGCCTATACCCTTCCAGAGCTTAACTTCCTTTAACATCAATGTAAAGCTTAGAACAAAGGCATTCCCTCTGATGAGAACAATTTTGTTAATTTATTTGTAACAACTGACTTCCCCTCTTCTTCGTCAAACACATAAAGACGTGGTTGGAATTGGCAATCTATCAGATAATTCCCCTGTACAACACCCCTTGTACAGATCCAATACAACAATGGGCCCTTAAACCTTGACAGAATAAAGTGCAATTCAATTAGCATGAAACTACGAAGCACGCAACTTCAGAGAAAGTGAAGTTCAGTGTCAATAAACACAATTGTTTTTTATAGAAATCTTCAGAAAAGTAAAAAGGAGGTTGCAAAATATGGACACTTGTACATGTAGCAGCATTGGAACAATGGTTACCGACTGTAGAATTTCTTGGATTTGTACTTTACAACATGTATTACAGTGTAGAGTGCAAAATGTACCCAAAACAAAAAGAAAGTTGGAGTAGAAGCCATGTTCAAGTCAAAACATGCACAAATATGATGTTCCTTTTGTTTCAAAAAATTGATTCATGGCTTATGTATTATAAAGTCACATGACTTTGCAAAATTGGGAATGTGTACATACATATCCCAAGACAATATAGAGAGTGCATCATGAGATTGAGAGTATGACCACATGCAAGTATCATATTTTGGAATTATGTAGTTATGCCAAAGAATTTGCTTGGTCATTAGACAATATATCTAATAATAAAACAAATGTATTATATTACAAATACCAGATGGCATGTTTATAATTGAATAAAACATGCTCTTACCATTATCTATGAAAGTATTTTAAAGCACAGCTAAGTCACATGTGCATTGTGTAGAAATATGAAAGTACATGGTCTCCTAAAAGTTGTCTGTAAAATCATATTTTAAAAACAAAACATATCTTAGGCTTTATTTATATATATATCACTCAGGAATTAAATTAAAACCTATCATAATGAAGAAGCAAACTCTCAAGGATTTTTATCTCAATTGTTTTGATCATCATTCATAAAAAATATATATATCCTTGAAGGTTGGAGAGTCAATGTTGGAAAATTTGTTTTGTAGGGTGCAGTAATGTAGGGCCCTGTATCCAAATCAAATCAAATCAAATCAATTCATATCAATTCAAAATGTTCTTGCCCTTCACTTTTAATGACTCTGAGAATTGTAATTACATACTTAACCATAAGTTTTCACTGAAAAAAGTAAAACACATCTTTTCATTTAAAATACTTCAAGAATGTTGCATTTTTAGAGGATATACGGTGATGGGACAAGAATATCTGCTGGAAGTTTTAGAGAGGGGAGTTAAGATGGGCGCAATCATTTATAGATAGCTATGCTTTCATCAAGCTAGAGATTGACGAGGGAAATGGAAGTATTAATTAGAGTTCCCCCTCGCCTCCGCCAACAATTATCATTCATGTACGCCCTCCTTCTTCGCATTTCCTCTCCCTTCGATCCCCATAGCCCTATGTATCTTCTTTCCTCTTGCCTTTCTCTCGTAGCGATATATACACATGTGATATCCTGTGATATTTCTTGGCAAAGCGCATTCCTAAGATTTTATTTCTTTAATGGAACCCCCCCCCCCCCACACATCCTACCTGCCTAGCATGTTGAGTATTAATGTGTTAATAATATTTTTCATTATATTTTAATTTTTGTTGCATTTCACTGATTGAATTAATCTTATTTTCCAATGAAATTATCTCTATTTATTTCTACATTCCCTTAAACACGTCTCTCCCTTTTTGTGTCTGTTTTTGGATGTTTGAATACAGTGTCATGTGATTCGAAACAGGTATATTTTTGAAATGTATGTTCTTCTTTTTCTCTGTCTCTCTTTCTCTCTCTTCTTTTCTTCTCCCTCTTGCTCCACATGACACACATATCATTACTTCATAATACAATCACATCTCTCATTCTCAATTGTATTCAAAATTTCTAGGCTCTTATTCATTCTTTGCGAAGTGCTCTATAAAATAATGAAATAAAGGTAAGCTTTTCATGTCATGACTGACGACATCATAGAACCCAATGTATCATCTCATCTCACATCTCGTGTGATCTAGTTATTACAGAGTTCATTAGTTCACAGGAAAGATGAGTTAAAAAGCTTTCAAAGTGTGGCTGCAACAGTTGGTTCATTTAAATTTGGAAAGTAAAAAAATAGCTAACACCAAACTATGCTCAAAGTCGCTGATTTCTGGTCATGATTTGAGCCTAAACAAGGAACACAAAATTGGCTGTATGTGGATGACATACACATAGTTACAGTAATAACGTCCTTGTATTCACGAAGTGACGGTAGTGAGGAAAATCGTAATGCAAAGTGAATGCAATTTTTTTTCACTACCGTCACTTCGTGAAAACAGCAACGATAATACTGTCTCTTCGGAGCAAGAAGGCTGTTTGTTCAAATCATTTTACACAGAGTTAATGCCCTTCTGGCTCAAAACAAATGTTTGTCTGGTATTATCAGTTGGGTGTTAAACAATAGTGCTTTAAATCAAGTGAACACCCTTTTGGCTTTCATCAGTAGAACATTAGGAACCATCTAGTGGTGGTGTTAATACATGAGATGCTTCTTACAGCATTAAGTAAACAATTCCCTACAATTTGTAGAATTTAGAAATCAGGTCGACCATAACATACCTTACCAACTCAACATGGTCTTTGGTGATGTGCCAAGTTATATATCACCAATGATAAAGAGAAAGTAACAAAATTAACATAGCATGTGTCGGTTTCTTTATTTGTCCTGATCCAAGCTCTATTAAGGATATTTCAATTTGATAGAATAATTGCCGATACTAAAAGCTGATAATGTTAGAAATGCATGGGACAAAATATTTTGGATATTCCCTATAATGAACATAAGTTGACATTAAAATGACCATTTTACTTCATACTTCAAGATCTTCATCTGATCCAAGCTTCATTAAGGCTTGCAAATCAAAACAACCATCAGATACACTACAGTATTTATTGTGGGCAGTAAAATACCAATAAGGCCTGTCTTCACTATCTCGAGATTGCCAAATATCCAGCTCTTTGAACTATCCCGATCGCAAACTATCCAGCTAATTTGCGTCTTCATCAGACCGAAGTAGCAATTAGCAGGATATTTGGTCGGGATTGTCATCCCAAGATATCTTGGGATAGTTTGCAAAATATCCCACTATATGACAAAATATCCAGCTATTTGTCCCGTGCATCTTCACTAGACCGAAGATTCGCAATACGCGCTAACGCTGAGCAAAATATCTCGAGCTAATTTCTCAAGGTCGAGTTTCAAGTTTCGAGGTCGAATCTCAAGATAGTGAATACGCGATTTGTTACTTCGGGATTATTTCCCAAATCAGAAATAGCGGGCTATGTGGCAATCTCAAGATAATGAAGACGCGCCTATAGAGACAAATTCTCATGGCATGAAATGAAGACTAAGATCGATTTCTTGTATTGGTTGGTTTCTGAGTAGAGGGCAAGGGAAAGATTGAATGCTTGGTGGAACAGAGGGTCAACTTGACCATGTGCCAAAACAACAGCGGTCATCTTTCTTGACGTCACACTTTAGGGTCAATATTCAGAGCAAATGACATTCAATCTTCTCAATATATTAGTTTAAATAAAATAAAATACTAATTTCTGTGGTATCAAATGTTTAATGTAGAACCAAGAGGTAGTTAATTGAA